AAATAGAAGAAGCTGCAAGGTATCTCATAGCAAAAAGAAGTGACATGAAAAACAGATTGAGGAGAAAAAATTAAGAATCATTGTACTACTTGAATACCATGACCAAAAAAAGACCCTAGACATCATATTCCAAGAAATCTTAAAAGAAAACTACCCAGATCACTTGGAACCAGAGGACAAATTAGGGGAAAGAATCTATCCTTCATCTTCTGAAATAAATTTCTAAGTGAAAACTCCCAAAAATATTATAGCCAAAATTCAGAGTTTCTAGGTCAAAGGAAAAATACTTCAAGCAGTCAGAAAAAGAATTCAAGTACTGAGGAACCTCAGTTAAGATTACACACGATTTAGCAGCCACACTATGAAGAAGTGGTAAGCTTGGAATACAATATTCCAAAAGGCAAGGGAAATAGGCTTAGAGCAAAGAATAACTTACTTGGCAAAACTGAATGTAATCCTAAAGGGGAAAATGGATCTTTAATGAAATAGAAGACTTCCAAGCATTCCTGATAAAAAAAAAAGCTGCATAGGAACTTAGAAATTTAAATATAGGGGTTAATAGTAAATAAATATTTAGTAAGTATCTACTATGTGCCAGGCCCTGTGCTAAGCACTGGGGATAAAAATACAAAAAAAAAACCAGTCCCTGCCCTCAAGGAGCTTATAATCTAATGGGGGGAAGACAACATACAAAAAGAACTGAAAAACATATGAGGGTGAGTAGGGAAGCAGGGGTTGGTATCCAACAAGAGGGGAGGGTAGAAAAGTCATAGAAGTCCCAAAGTAGTGCAGACATGTGAGAAAAGGAGATATTCTGATCTGAGCTCCTTCCTTAAATGGAATATTTGGAGTTCATGGTTCCATAATGATGAAGTGAAGTTCCAAGACAAGTAGAAGTTAACAGAAATAAATATTTTTAAAACCCTGAAAAAGTCATAAAGGACTAAACAAGGATAAATTACTTACATTCAAATTTGAGGAGATGATACATACATCCTCTCTGAACCTTATCATCAAGAGTCATAGAGTGAGCCCAATTAGACAAGATCTGGGAATGATTCTCTTGTGTCTCGATGATCTTAAGATAAAAATGGAACGAGAGGGGAAGAGGAATGCACTGGGGGTGGAGGTAGGGAGGAAAAGGGAAAGGTAGCATAAAGAAAATTATTTCACATAATAAGGATGTTTGAGTAGGCATCTATACAAACAAGGATGAGGGAGTAGATGGGAATGGTTGACACTTGACACTTAATCTCATCTGAACTGGTCAAAGGAGGGAAGAATACACACACACACACACACACACACACACACACAGAGTTGGGTACAGAAATACATTTCCCTAAATGGGGAAATAGGAAGGAAAGGGAAGGAGGGAGAAAAGTAGAGAGAAGGTAGGTTAAGAGAGGGATTGGTCCTAAGCATGTACAAAAATATTTATAACTCATTTGAGGTGGCAAAGAATGAGAATCTGCAAGGGTATCCTCAATTGAGGAATTGCAGAATAAGTTATGGTAAATGAATATGATGGAATACATATTGTCCTGTAAGAAATGATGAAGGTGGTTTCAGAGAAACCTGGAAAAAATTGAATGAACTGATACATATAGGGGTGGGGTAGAACCAGGAAAACAATTTATACAATGACAATAACACGTTAAAGACAAACAAGTTTGAAGGAATTAGGGATTCTGATCAATGTAATGACCAACCATAATTCTACAAGGCTAATGATAAAACACGCTGAGGCAATAAACAGTGCCCGCCCTCAAGGAGCTTACAATCTAATGGGAGAGACAACATGTAAAGAAATATATACAGAACAAGCTATATACAGGATAAATAGGAAATAACTGAGGGAAGGGATGAGAGTTAAGAGGTTGGGAAAGGCTTTCTGTAAAAGATTAGTTTGAACTTACAGGAAGCCAGGGAAGTCAGTAGGCATCGTAGAGGAGGGAGTAAATTCCAGACATGGGGGACAACCAGAGAAAATGCCTAGAGCCAAGAGATGGAGTGTCTTGTGCCTGGAACAGCCAGTGTCACTGGACGGAAGAGGATATGGCTAGGAATATGGTATAAGAAGACTGGAAAGATAGAAGGGGTCTAAATTATGAAGGGCTTTGGTTGATAACATTCCCTTTTGGTTCCTAGCTATCTGAACAGCACTGGTTCCATTAATCTTAGCAAGTCACTGCTTCTACCACAGACTAGAGAAGATATTAGATAGACCCAGCTCTAGGTCTCACTCACTGGGTTGGAAGAGGGGAAGAGAAGAGATAGGAGCTGGGGCAAGGACTGTTGCAAACGGGCAGGGCCATTAGAATCCTAATAACTTTCAGAGGTGATATTTACAGTGGCCATATTTGGTGTCTGGTCACAGAGACCATATCATGTCTGAGGCTAGTATGAGTCTATCTGGTTGAATTTCCAGAGGTCTGGAAATCAAGTCTGCTCTCTTCAATTTGGATACCAGAGAAGTAGTTTGATACCACAAAAGAGAAAAAGATAAGTTTTGAGAAAGCTCCCTCTAGGTCCTCAAGTGCAGTCCTTTGACTGAATCCAAACTTCACAGAACAAATCCTCTTATAATAGAAGGAACTGTTCTGTAAAACTTGGACTCAGTCAAGAGACCACATCCAAAGACCCAGAAGGTCACATGTGGCATTGAGGCTGCAGATTCCCCACCCCTGGATTAAAAGCCTTAGAGTCTAAGGCTATAAATTAAAGACCTACTATGGTGAAAGGCGTTTCCACACAGGGAACTCCTTACAGTGATGATATCACCCTCTCTCCTCCCCCCTTTCACCTTCTCCATTATGTGTAGATGTTCTTTGAGTGGCAACTTGGAGTAGCACAGAGTGAGCTGGCCTTAGAGCCAGGGAGGTCTGAGTTCAAATCTTGTCTCTGATACATACTAATTATGTGACCCCTATGTGAGCAAGTGTCTTAACCCCTCAATGCTCCTGCCAACTCCCTTAAGACCTGCATTAGTAGAGGGAGTTCACCATGTGGATGCCATCACAGCTTTTTGAGTACTGGGTCTGGAATCAGGAAGACCTGAGTTCAAAAAGCCTCACATGCTTCCTAAATGTGTGATCCTGAGTAAGTCACTTCACCTCAGTTTCCTCATCCACAAAATGGGGATAATAACAGCAAATACCTCCCAGGGTTGTTGTGAGGATCAAATGGGACAATAATTGCAAATCACTTAGCATAGTGACTGGCACATAGTAAGCGCTTTATAAATGTTATTATTATCCTCATAGTTTATTATATTTATACATGTACACAAATAAAAATAAAATAAGATTAAAATAAAACAATAAAACAGACACAATAAAGAAATATTAAAAATTTAATAATAAGATAGAAATGAAAGGGAAATAAAATAAATAACATGTTTAAAAATAAAAATAAATTTAAAAAATAATTATTTGCCCATAATCATTTAAGTTTTAAGTGTCTGAGAGGAAATTCAAACCCAAGTTTCTTGACCACTAGGTCAGTGTTCCAAATTCTAGCATGAGCAGTTTCCTCCAACTTGCATATCTATACACACACATGTAGTCCTCCATGGTTATAGAACGAGTAATTGATAAATTGCCATCGATGCCGGTATCTTCAACACCCAAATGGATCCGATGATCTCATCCGATGGGGAATTTCACCCTCTCCTCTCCCTCTCCCCCACAACAACGTAAAATATGCTTTATTTTTTGGTTTAACTTGACCTGGGATTGTATTGTGTAAGGAGCTTTGGGTGCGGTACTCCCTCTACTGATGCTTTTGGGCAACTGAAGCCTGTGGACACACCCACTCTGCAAATGAGAGAGTCGCCTAGGCCCACTGAGATTTTAAAGGAACTGACTTGCAGAGGGTCACACAGCTTTATAGTTCTAGATGAGGAGTGCTGCGGAGGCCAGGAAGAGGAAGGGAGACTAGAACCCAGGTCTTCTGGACTTCAAGGTCATCTCTCTATCCACTATTCACATGCTACTTTTCTTGCTTGTTTATTTAGTTTATAGTCTATGGTGGACACAGGGCTGGATCTGGGAGTCAGGAAGACCTGAGTTTGAATAGCTGAACCCTACCTCATACATTTTCTGGCTGTGTGACCTTCAGCAAGACACTTTACCTCTTTCTGACTCAGTTTCCTCATCTGTAAAATGGAGATAATAAAAGCACCTACCATACAGTCAGGCAGCTAGCATTTATCAAGAGCCCACTATATGCAGCTATTTAGGCAGCTAGATGGCATAGCAGATAGAGCACAGGCAGGGCGTCTGGAAGACAAATCCAGCCTCAGACACTTATTAGCTGTATGACCCTGGGCAAGTCAGTTAACCCAGTTTGCCTCAGTTTCCTCATCTGTAAAATGAGCTGGAAAAGGAAATGATAAACCACTCCAGCATCTTTGCCAAGAAAACCCCACATGGGGTCAGCGCGAGTCGGACACGACTGAAACAACACCTGCTCTGTGCCGAGCACTGCGCTAAGCGCTTCGGGATACAAAGACAAAACCCAATCCCTGTTCTTAAGAAGCTCAGTCTTATGATGGAGACAAAAAGCAACTAAGGATAAATTGGGAGAGAAAACATGCAAACAAGATGTAAATAAATTAGATATAACCTTTGGGGGAAGACACCAAGATTAATTAAGCAGGACTGGGAGAGCGTTCTTGCAGAAGACTGGACTGCAGTGACAATCAAACCAGATCATCTGATCTAGAAGATAACCATTTAAAGCGCTTTGCAAACTTTAAAGCATTCTATATGTTGACTATTATTATCATTAATGCAAAGTTGGTGAAATGCAACATTTTAAAAAAGAACAATAATAAAAGAGGGTGAGTTTCGCCCCCGAGCGTGCACCTACTCCCGAAACGAGTCGGGGTCCCAGCTGGAGAGGCAACCCAAGACCCAACCTCTCCAACAGAGCTGCGCACGCAGCCAGGCCCTGCCCCCCCACCAGCGGGATCACGTGGCCAGAGCCCTTCCCCAGCTCAGCCCAGCCCAGCCCAGCCCGGAGCTCTGGGCTGTGTCTGCTCTTGAACTCTGCGCGTGGCCCGATAGGCGAGAGGAAGGACGCGCGCGGGGGCGCGCGCGCCAGGTCGCGGGGTTGGTTGTGTAAGCGTGGAGGGTGGTATCGCCTCCTCCCCAGACCTTGAGCTGCTGCTGCGTAAAGCGCGGACACTGTGTGCTTGGCCTAGCTTGCTGCGAGCTCCCGCGGACGCTGGGGGCCTCGGGCTTCCGGCTCCGTTTGCAGCCGCCCCAAGGTGAGCAGAAGCCGGAGCGCCCCTCGGGCAGGGCGAGGGGAGCTGGGGCACCCGGTCCTGCTTCTCACCCACCCCTCCCTTTTCGGCGCCGGGCCTCCCGGAGCCTTTACAAAGCATGTTCTGCATGCGCGCAAAGCATGTCCTGCACGCGCGCAAAGCATGCCCTGCACGCGCGCAAACCTCCCCCCAGCCCTTGGAGCCCTGGGGGGAGCAGGGAGCCGGGGTGCCCAGGAAGGAACTTTGCATTTGGAGACGGAGGACCTGGTTTCAAATGCTGGTTCTGCATTTTGGGAGAGTTAGTTAACTTCTCTGGCCTTCAATTTATTCCGATGTAAAAGGAAGGAGTTGGGAGGTTCTGAAATCCTGTGATCTACCTTCAGCCAAGATAACCTGGAATGGCTTTGGAAATGGGATTGGGCAAGAGAATAGTAGTAGATCTGCCCTAGAACAAGCCAGGGAAATGATGTTCTCCCTTTTCTTGCTCATCCTCCCCTTTCTAGCTGTTGTAGCTCCAGCAACTGAGCAGAGACCCCAATTTTGTGAGTACGTGAAATAAAATGTGCCAAAGGTGACTGGTAATTTTGTGGTACCTGAAAGGGAAAATAGCTGAGACAGTTGCTAGTCAGCAGATTTTACACTTGCAATGCAACAGAGATGTATAGAAAAAGATACTATTTAGGAATATTAAAACAAAAAAACTCAATTTTTGTAATGGCAGAATCAAAGGAAATATATACTCTAATCTGATTGGTTACAGTAATCAAGTACTGGAGTAGATGGAAATATAGAAAAAAACAAATAGTGAAGAAATGTTTGCCCTAAAAAAGGTAAAGGTATAATTGATATGGGGTAGAGGAACTGCAGCTAAGGAGTCATCTGCACCAACAGCATACAGGTGAGATACACGGTGTCCCAAAAGTCTTAGTGCAGTTTTAAGCTTTAATAACTTCAGAACTATAAGTATTGGGGCAGCTAGGTGGCACAGGAGGACCTGAGTTCAAATGTGGCCTCAGACACATGACACTAGCTGTGTGACCTTGGGCAAGTCACTTAATCCCCGATTGCCTCACAGAAGAAAGAAATGTAAGTGTTACATCCTTTTTAAAACGCCACATTTGAAAAGTGAATTTTTTAAATTTGAAAAATTTGCTGTTTCTTATGAAAATTCAACACAACCACTGTTGTGGTAATAAATCACTGATTTTCAAACCTTCTGGAAAGAACTTTCAGCTGCTGCTCAGTGACCAAAAAAGGATTGCATTTTGCAATCCTGATATTAAGATCATCCAAAGAAAGTGGTTTGATGCATGAAGGACAATTTTGATGTGACCCCCGCAAGACAAAGTCTAATTGATTAGGTGGTTGAGGGATGGAAGCAAGAGAGTCTCCTCTGCTAATGTATGAATCTGATACAGTGGCATTCAGAACATGGTACATAGCAATGCATAGTGACAGGGTGCCCCGTCTTGTTAAAATTCAAGATTTATCATTCAAAATTCACAAAACTAAGTTTAAAATAAATTTAAATTGTCAATTTTTTAGCAAATTTGTAGCATTTATGATTCTGAAGTTATTAAAGTTTAAAACTGCACTAAGATTTATGGGACACCCTATAGATACACTGACGCAAAGAACTATTTATTGGAAAAGGGATAAAAAAGCATGGGAGGTTTCTTCATATATACTTTGTTATGCATTATACTTTCTCAGCCAAATACAGCAATCCTGTAATTATTTAAAATCGATACAGCATTATAACCCCAGTAACAGAGCCCCTTGGTTTGGGGCTCTTCTTATCGGTGGAGATCAGTGCCCTTTGTGGAATTGATGAGGGAGGGAGGGAGGAGTTCTCATCAAGCTTCCAGTCTTTTTGAGTCACTGAGGCTCTTTGGACTAAGGGCACTTTTGGCATCCAGCTTTGAGAAAGATGGAAGAGGCCAACCCCGAGCCAGGTTGCTGAAGGAAAAGACTGAGAAGTCCATGAGGGCAGCCGGCAGTCTCCATCATGTCCCTATCCCCAGCTGGCTGCACCAGAGCCTGCAGGGACCTTCCTCTTGGGTGGGGCCTAGGACATTCTCTCTTATGGGAGCTGAGTTACCTCATTTCCAACGAGAGAGGGCCTTCATCCAGTATTGTCTGGTATATATTCTCCAATTTTTTCTGATTTCTGTTTGGCTGTCGAATTGGCTAATTGGGTCTCTTCTATAGTTCCTATGTGTCTTTGCTGTAGAACTGGTATTTGCTGGGAAAGGATTCAAGCCTTGGATATAAAGCTTGGGGTCCTGCTACCTCCAATAAGGAACTGCAAGCAGAAGTTAGATTGAACCTGAAAATCACATCCCCTAGACCAAGGGTAGGGAACCTTTGGCCTTGAGGCCACGTGTGGCTGCCTAGGTCCTTGAGTGCGGCCCTTTGACTAAATCCAAGTTTTGCTGAACAAATCCTTTTATTAAGGGATTTGTTCTGTGAAGTCTGGATTCAGTCAAAGGGCTACATTTGAGGACCTAAGCAGCCACATGTGCCCTCAAGGCCATGGGTTCCCCTACTGCCCTAGACCAATAATATTTAAGGAACAGTAGATAGATCAAATTCTAACCGGGTACCACCTCTCTCTCTCAGCTCAGAGTAGCCAACCTTCTGCCCTTCTGCTTCCCCTCCTGGCAGGAATGAAAAGTCTCCTTTAGGGAAGGGGGCAGGGAGAGGAGGCTGCCTTGGAGCCACACAACACCCCCCTCCATGCTATGTGGGCGGAACAGCCCTTGCAACAAATGGGCTTCCACTACAGAGTTTTCTTAGGTGCAAAGTTAAACCCCATTTTATACCTGAGTCTGATAAAGAGCTCTGTCCTTCAGAGATTAATGCTCACCTAAAGAAACATCCTGAGCTTCTCCTCCTCCTTTCCCAACGTTTCTCTTTCATTCCCTTTCCCTCTCATTCTCCTTTCCCATACCTACTTTTTTGTCTTTTGTTGTTTCCTTTTTTTTTTTTAACTTCTGCCTCAGCCTTATAACACACCATTATATGAAATGCTTTGGTACCTGGATGGATCTGTGATCTCAGTTATGTAGGCACTTCTCCTGGGCCAGATTACTACTGCCTCTCTCTCCTTCCCATGCTGTTAGATTTTTGTCCTTGTCACTGCCAAGCATCCTTCCTCTAGGTCTTTCTTTCGACGTTTTCTGGGTACCAATACTGTTCTCTTTTGCCCACCTGTTGTTATTCCTGGGTCTTGATACACAATCAACCAACTCCTTTTCAGAGCAAACATTTCTTTGGTGATATCTTTCAAATGAAAAATAAAAGTCTTCTGTTGCCTTTTTCAATTTCAAAAGCAGATAAAGGTTTATACTTATATCTAAAAAAATAATAATAGCTAACCTCCACGTACCGTGTTATGGACATTACTTCCTTTGATCCTCACACCAACCCAATGACATAGGTGTTGTAGGTATTATTATACCCATTTTAGGAATGAGAAAACTGAGGCTTAGAGGGCTGGTCATGTGCCTGTGATCACACAGCTAATAGCAAAGGCAGGATTCAAAATCAGGTCCCTTTTGACTTTATCATTCTGCTTTTCAGTGATAGCTTACATTTCTAAAGCGCTCTAAAATTTCCAAAATGCTTTCCTTACACTGAAGTAGACAGTGCAAATACAATTATTCCCATTTTATAGATGAAGAAACAGAGGCTCCTCTGAGAGGAATTTTGGGGACCAGATGTCTCTGGACCAAAGAGCATGTGGTCTGGGTAGTCGGAGTAAAGTTCCCTCCGGGATGGTTCTGTATGCTTTGCATCTGCCTTCATGAGCATCTGAATTTTTTGGCCCCAGTTTTCCTCCCTCCTCTAACTCTCAGTAGGTAGCCGAGCCTTCATTTATGCTCAAGTAAGTATGTGAGGCTAGGCTTAGACTCAGTTCTTTTGACTCCAAATTCAATTGGAGCTGCTTTTTTTTTTCATCTTTGTGTGACTTTTGGATAATTATAACTCCTTCCCTCAAAAGAAAGAAAAGAAAGATCTTTCTTATCTCTGCTTAAGAAAAACAATGTGTTTTTTAATTATTCAACTGATAAAACAGTTGCTGAACACTTAGGTTAGATGAGAAAATCAGAATGTCAGAAACCTGGATTGCCCTAGAAGGGGGTTTCATGCACTGTCCCCTGTGCCTGAAATCCTCTCCATCCTAACCTCTGACTCTTCAAATCACCGGCTTCCTTTAAGTTTGTTCTTACAGTTGAGTTGTTTCTGACTCTTAACACCATTTGGGGTTTTCTTGACAAAGATACTGGAGTGGTTTGCCATTTCCTTCTCCAGCTCACTTGACAGATGAGGAAACTGAGGCAAATGGGGTTAAGTGATTTACCCAGGGTCACACAGCTAATAAGTGTATGAGGCCAGATTTGAACTTGGGTTTTCCTGACACCAGGCCTGGAGCTATATCCACTGTATCACCCAGCTGCCCCTAGGCTTCCTTTAAGACATAGTTCAAATACTACCTCTTAACAGGAGATTTTTCCTGGTCCCTCAGGTAGAAGTTCTTTCTGTTCTAAAGTTACTTTCCATCTACTCTTTTATTTCATATGAACCAAATTGTGTGTGTACGTATATGCGTGTGTGTGTGTGTATATATATATATATACACACACATACATATATATGCATATATATACATACATATATATGCATATATACATACATACACACGTGTGTATGTTTTTATGCATGTATTGTCTTCCTGATTATAATGTAAGCTTCTTAAGGCAAGGGCTATGCTTGCTTTTTCTTTGTATGCCCAAGTTTAGCATAGTGCCTGGCATATAGTGTGTCTTTAATAAATATTCTTGGTTGATTAATTGTTTGGAATGAGAATTATCACTGGTCTTGGAGGCAGTGATAAGCAAGAGTTTATATATTTTCTTCTTAGATTTGAAACTCTTCTCAATAGGGTTTGCTGTATAGTTCTTCTCTTATAGATTAAGAAAATTAGATATTCTTCCTAACTACCTAGGGAAATGTTATGACCATGTATACACCATTTTTCAAGGCAGGGTCAGCATAAAAGCACCCAAATTAGCCAAATTGGATTTGTCCAGAGAATTGGGATTTATACCTCAAGTGCTTACATGGATCCACCCACCCACCAGCTGAGGAGGGAGAGTTTGATAGATTTTACACTCATTATCACAGGTTCCTTTTCCTCCATCTAATCCAACTCCTCTGTATTTTTATTCCCAGAATAAAAGGCATAAGACTCACCATGGCCCCCAAAAAGAGGAGCCACAGTACCAGTAGTGAGCCGGAGAAGACGGAAAGCCAGGAGAGTAAAGCTAAGAGGAAGCCACTCCAGAAACACCAATTCAGCAAGAGCAACATGGTTCAGAAAGAGGAGGAAGACAAGAGAGAGGGAGACAAAAGGGGAGGAACGGAGGGCCTGCAGGAAGTAGTGAGGCAGTCCAGGCTCCGGACAGCTCCCTCTGTGCTGGAATTTCGCTTTAACAAACAACGAGTGAGACTCATCTCTCAGGACTGCCACCTGCAGGACCGGTCCCAGGCCTTTGTGTACTGGATGTCTCGAGACCAGAGAGTGCAAGGTCTGGGCAGATGGAGATGGGTCAGGGGGATCACTCAGTGGCTGCTTCTTTGGGTTTGGCATCTGCCTTCATGGCCATCTGAGTTTTTTGGCCTGAGTTTCTCTCCCTCTTTTATCCTTTTTTTGCAGATAATTGGGCATTCCTTTATGCCCAGAGATTGGCCCTGAAACAGAAGCTGCCCTTGCATGTCTGCTTCTGCCTTGCCCCCTGCTTCCTGGGGGCCACCATCCGTCATTATGACTTCATGCTTCGTGGCTTGGAAGAAGTAGCCGAGGTAAATGGGAAAGGACATTATGGAGTAACTGGTGAAGAAATTGGGGGTGTCTGTAGCTCCTTTAGGGGTACAATAGCTGATTTTCATCCATTTAATACCTGTTTATAAAATGCTTACTATGTATAGAGCTCTATACATCAGGGAAAGCAGGGGAGGGAGCAGATATTTATAAAATGCCTACTGTGTGGCCAGTACTGTGCTAAAACACTTTGAAAATACCATCTCATTTAATCCTTCTCAGATACCTTAGAAGGTAGGCGTTATTGTCCACATTTTACAGTTGCAGAAACAGATAGAAAAAGGTTAAGTTACTTATTACCCAGAGTCACACAGGTAATGTCTGAGGCTGGATTTGGATTCAGGTCTTCCTGACCACAGATACCACTGTGCCCACATTGTTTTTGTGTGTGTGTGTGTGTGTGTGTGTGTGTGTTGGGAGTAGGGAGTGAGGTATTGGAATGCAAAGTAATTAAGTGTAGAGTAGAAAGGGACAGCTAGGTGGCCAGGCCTGCAGTTAGGAAGACGTCTCCCTGAGTTCAAATCTGGCCTCAGATACTAGCTGTGTGACCCTGGGCAAGTCACTTGCCCCTGTTTCCCTCAGTTTCCTCATCTGTAAAATGAGCTGGAGAAGGGAATGGCAAACCACTTCAGTATCTTTGTCCAAAGAAACCCCAAATATAGGGTCAGGAAGAGTCAGACATAGCTGGAACAACTGAATAACAACAGAGTAGAAAGAACACTATTGGGAGCCAAGATGGAGTAAAAGCAATGACTTACTTGAGCTCTCCTCCAAACCCCTCGAAATACCTGTAAAAAATGGCTCTAAACAAATTCTAGAGCAGCAGAACCCACAAAAAGACAGAGTGAAACAGATTTCCAGCCCAAGACAACCTGGATGGTTGATTGGAAAGGTCTGTCGAGCTGGGCTGGGAGAGAAACACAGTTTGGCGTCAGGCAAAGACTAGGCCTCAGTGACCCTGGAGCAGCCCTCAGAGGACTGAATCATGGGCAGCTGTGGCAGTTTCCAGACTTCTCAACCCACAAACACTGAAGACAACTTAGAAAGTCAGTAGGAAAGGTCTGTGACCTCGGTGAGAGAGAAGCATGGTGCCAGCCTCCATCCCGGAGCAGCCCTAGGGCAGTGGCTGCTTCTGGAACTTCTGGCCCACAGACTGAGGGGGAATCAGCTGGCTGATCAGAGGGCGATTGCAAGGATCTCTCTGCTGGTGCAGGATTCTCTTACTTTGCCAGTGCTTGGATCTGGGTCACAGTTTTGGGTGGCAGTCCTGGGTTGAGGAGGAACACTGGCATGATGGAGCTTGTGATGGCAGTGTAGGGGGAGTCCTCCTCACAGTTCCAAGGCAGACAACAGTGCTTGTGGTCACTCACAAACTAGAGCAAAGGCCAGGAAAGGAATAAACACCTCACCTTTGTTCATACCACCTTGGAAGAATGGAAAATTTACAGGTTCCTAGAAGTATCTCTGAAAACAGCTGCACAAAACCCCTGAAGCTTGGGACAGTACATTCTCCACACTGGAAGCAGGTCCCTACCTTAACAAAGAGTTTAAAACTCAAGTAATTGGCTGGGGAAATGAGCAAACAGCTTAAAAAAAGTTAGACCATAGAATCTTACTTTGGTGACGAAGAAGATCAAAACATACAACCAGAAGAAGACAAAGTCAAAGCTCCTACATCCAAAGCCTCCAAGAAAAATATAAATCAGTCCCAGGCCATGGAAGAGCTCAAAAAGGATTTTGAGAAACAAGTAAGAGAAGTAGAGGAAAAACTAGGAACAGAAATGAGAATGATGCAACAAAATCATGAAAAACAAGTCAACAGCTTACTAAAGGAGACCCAAAAAAATACTGAAGAAAATAACACCTTAAGAAATAGCCTAAGGGGCAGCTATGTGGCCACAGACACATAACACATACTAGCTGTGTGACCCTGGCCAAGTCACTTAACCCCATTGCCTAGCCAAAAGAAAAAAAAAAAATAAATAGCCTAACCCAAATGGCAAAAGAGATCCAAAAAGCCAATGAGGAGAAGAATGCCTTAAAAAGCAGAATTGGACAAATGGAAAAGGAAGTCTAAAAGCTCACTGAAGAAAATACTTCCTTAAAAATTAGAATGGAACAAATGGAAGCTATTTGACTCTATGAGAAATCAAGACATTGTAAAACAAAACCAAAAGAATAAAAAAAAAAGACAGTGTGAAATATCTCTTTGGAAAAACAACTGACCTGGAAAATAGATTCAGGAGAGATAATTTAAAAATTATTGGACTACCTGAAAGCCATGAGCAAAAAAAGAGCCTAGACATCATTTTTCAAGAAATTATCAAGGAAAACTGCCCTGGTATTCTAGAACCGGAGGGTAAAATAGAAATTGAAAGAATCCACTGATCACCTCCTGAAAGATCCCCAAAGGAAAACTCCTAGGAATATTATAGCCAAATTCCAGAGTTCCCAAGTCAAGGAACAAATATTACAAGTAACCAGAAAGAAACAATTCAAGCATTGTGGAAACACAATCAGGATAACACAGGATTTAGCAGCTTCATGCTTCCTTGAAGAAAAGACCAGAGCTGAATAGAAAATTTGACTTTCAAATACAAGAAGCATGAAAAGCAGGATGGTATTTGTAACTCATGAGAACTTTGCCAGCATTAGGGTAGTTGGAGGGGAAATAAATATGTGTGTGTGTGTGTGTGTGTGTGTATGTATGTGTGTACATATATTTAGAGAGAGAGAGAGATGGCGTAGGGTGAGTTGAAGATGAAGGGGTGATATCTAAAAAATGAAGTTATGGCGTGAGAGAGGATTATACCTGGAGAAGAAGAAAGGGAGAGGCAGAATGGGGTAAATTATCTCCCATAAAACAGACAAGAAAAAGCTTTCGCAGTGGAGGGGAACTGGGAAAGGTGAGAGGGAATGAATGACTCTTATTCTCATTGGATTTGACTTAAGGAGGGAATAACATACACACTCAATTGGGAATGGAAATCTATCTTACCCTACTGGAAAATAGGGGAGAAAGGGATAAGAGAGGGGGAGGAGGGCAGATTAGAGGAAGGGGTATTCAGAATGCATGCTGTCTTGGGGTGAGAGAGGGGTGAGAAGGGGAGAAAATTTGGAACTCAAAATCTTGTGGAAGTGAATGTTGAAAACTAAAAAGAAATAATAAAAAGAAAAAAATTCAAAAAAAAAAAAAGAAAGAGCACTATTAACTGTAGAATGAGGGGACCTGGGTTCAGATCCTACCTACCTGTGTGAACCTGAGCAAGTCACTTAACTTGTTTGGGCTTCAGTTTCCTCATCTGAAAAAACAAGGGAGGTTGGGCTAAATGTATCCCTTCAGCTCTAAATCTAGGCTTCTGTGATCTTCACACATGGCTCATGCCCTCATTTAGTAAGTTACATATAGTACCATACAGGAATTTAAAGGTACAGAACTGAATATAGTAAGCATAAGATAGGAAGAAATTGTTATAGGAGGTTGGAGAAAAACTTGGAAGGACCACAAGGCAGCGGCTACCTGAAGGAGGCAGCATTTATACTAGGTGTTAAAGGCCAGGTGGGATGATTTTCGGAGGTGGAGATGGGAGATACGGGAATTCTGAGTAAAGCCATAAAGCAGGAAATATCTGGATGGCAATTAGTCCCGTTTGGTTCTAGTCCTAGCACCCGTGGAGAATAACAATCTGAGATGATTCCTGGAGAGGGAGGGAGGTACCAGGTGGTGGAGCAAATGCCAGGCGAAGGAGTTTGAGCATGCAAGAGGGATAGGATTGTGAAGACATCTGGTCCTAACTTGGTGTGGATTGGGGCCCTTTCATCTCTTTGTTGCAGGAGTGTGAGAAGCTGTGCATCCCCTTCCACCTGCTTCTAGGCCTGCCAAAGGATGTACTTCCTGCCTTCGTGCAGACACATGGCATTGGTGGCATAGTGACTGACTTCTCCCCTCTGCTCCACCACACCCAGTGGGTGAAAGATGTCCAGGATGCACTGCCAAGGCAGGTGCCCTTTGTACAGGTAGGTGCCTGTGATAAAGTAGTATCACTTGGAAGGCTCCATTGGACCTATCTTTCTTAGCATGAATGAAATGCTAAGTCAGAAAATAAGAGCTCAGAGCAAAGACCTGAATTTTGCCCTCCATCATGATCTTTGGTGCTTGTCCAGTAGCCACAAGTGAGTTTCCCTTCTTGGAGGAGGTCTGGGTGATTATACAAGTCTTTGAGATAGAAGTGGGAAATCCCCAGAATAGTGGGGATTTGCCAGTCTAGTGACTCCACGTTTGTTGTCCTTTGGCAGGGAAGAGGGGACTTCAAACCACAGTGTTGGGTTGTGAATCTGGAGGATTAGATGACGCTGGGGAAAGTTGTGGGACTAATCATAAAGGGGGCAGAATTATTTGGATTATGGGTTGTTGTGAGTAGGCTGTGAAGTAGATAGAATGCTGGGCTGGAGTCAGGAAGGTGAGTCTTCCTGACTTCAAATCTGGCCTCAGATACTTATTAGCTGTTTACCTCAATTTTCTCATCTATAACATGAGCTGGAGAAGGAAATGGCAAACTACTCAAGTATCTTTGCCAAGAAAACCCCACATGGGGTCAGAAAGAGTTGGACACAACTGAACAGATGTGCTAGTAAATATTTAACAACTGACTCTGTAGAGAAAAAACGTACACATGACGTACTTCTAGACTTAATCTGCGTTATTAACATTTTTTCCACCGCTTCATTAAGTCTAAGCAATCAACGAAACAATTTATCAAGCCCTGATTTATGTCATTTGCCGATTTCCAAGATATAAATGCTCACACTGAAAATTTAACAATTGGCTCCGGTATTATCCGGCTCCAACACATCCTGAGTTTTATGTGTTTGTTGGTTTTGCTGAAATGCTTTTTTTTCTTGTTTCTTATTAAATTTTTGTTACCAAATTTGCTACATATAGGAGGAGGGGAGGGATTTATTCAGAAATAAAGGTGGTGTAAAAGCAAGTTATCCATAAAATGAGATATAAGACAAAAAAGTAAGAGTTTTCTCTGAGATTTACATAGGCTAGCAGAGGCTAGAAGGCAAGAGCTTCATTCAAGAGGAAGCTATGATTCTTTTTAGGCTCTTGAACATGAACCCATCAATAGGTATTTGCCGACTATGATAGGTACGAAACACTATACTAGGCATTGTGGGGGATAGGAGGTATGGTTTCTGCCCACAGGGAGTTTAAAATCCAGTTGGTTCTTCCTCAGGTAGATGCTCACAACATCGTTCCGTGCTGGGTAGCCTCTGACAAGCAGGAATATGGGGCTCGAACCATACGACACAAGATCCATGACCGGCTTCCTCATTTTCTTACTGAGTTTCCCCCAGTTATATGTCATCCATATCTTTCAAACATTCAGGCTGAGGTAAGACGTGCCCATACCCTCAGGGAGGGCTGGACTTGGGCTGGGGAGCATCTAGTGAAGGACTCAGAGACCGCTTTTGTAAATGATTTTTTTGAAAACAAGATAAGAAACTGAGGCACCAGAGAATTGACCTCATGGGCACTGGGGAAAGGAAGCAGCAAAGCCCTGGAGTTAGTGTCTCAAGTGACTATTTTATACAACCTTATGATGTGTCTGCCCAGAGTGGAGTTCCTCACAGGACTGGGATTTCTCTGCCTGCTTCTCTGAAGTCTCATTAGCCCCTGCTCATATCAAACCACATCAATTAATCATTAAGTATTTCTTAAGTAGCCACTATGTGACAAGCACTGTGCTAGGCACTGGGGATACAGTTCCCCCCAAAAAAGGAAACAATCTTTATCTGCAAGGAATTTACATCCTAATGAGGGAATAAATATACAGGGAATCTATACAAAGAAATTCAAGATAGTTTGGGAGGGAGGGTACTAGTAGTTAGAAAGAGAGAGAAAGGAAGATAGACTGAATAAAGAGAATGGGAGAGGAAGAGAGTGAGAAAAGAGAAGGTGAGAGAAAGGAAGAGGGTAAGAAGAGAAAGGAAGAGAGGAAAGTGAGAGAGGAAGAGAGTGAGAAATGAGAAAGGGAAAGGAAGAGAGTGAGAAAAGAGTGAGAAAAGAAAAAGTGAGAGAAAGGAAGAGTGAGAAAAGAGAAGAAGAGAAATAGAAAATGTATGGATTGGTATATGTGCCAAGTATTGAGTTAAGTACTAGGGTTATAAATACAAGCAAGCAAATCAGTCTTCAGCCTCTAGGAGTATACATTCTGATGAGAAAAGACAGCACATAGAGGAGAGTCAGAGAAAGGGGGAAGTCATCATTCTGGCTGGGAACCTGAATGGAATCCTTCATAGTGAAATAAGGTAAAAACTCACCTATTAAAGCCTCATGTCCCAAAGGCAGGCTTGGGGTGGGAAGAGGGAGAATTAAGTTGATGGTTAGTGTGGTATGGAGATGTCTGGGGAAGGATTTATGTAGAAGGGGGTGCTGAAAGTGAAGTGAGGAGAACCAGGAAGACATTGTACACAACAGCAGTGTTGATAGACTTAGCTCTTCCCAGCAATGCAGTGATCCAAGACAATTGTGAGTTCTTATGCTGAAAAATGCTATCCAGTGTCAGAGAAAGAATTGATGGAGGATGAATGCAGATCGAAGCATACATTTTTTATTTGCTTTATTTTTTCTTGGGTTTTTTTGTGTGTTTTCCTTTGCAACATGGCTAAGATGGAAATATGTTTTACATGAATGCACGTGTATGATCTACATCAAATTTCTTGACTTCTCAATGAGAGGGGAGGAGAAGGAATTTGGAATTCAAAATTTTAAAAAAAATGTTTTTCCATGTAATTGGAAAAAATAAAATATAAAATTTTTTGGGAAAAAAAGGTGATTAAGCTGAGTCTAGAAGAAAGAGAGGTAAAGAAGGAGTTATTCTAGGTATGAGGGATGACTATGGCAAAGATGTGGGAGAGGAAGTGCAATATGTGAAGATTAGAGAAATACCAAGTTTCCTGGATTGCAGAATGCAGAAAATGCAGTAATAAATATTGATATAAATTTTTATATATAATTTATAATGGATATAAACATAAATTTTAATAAAAATGTATATAAATAGTATCAAAATAACTAAATGAGGCTGGAAAGAGAGGTTGGGACCAGGTTGCCAAGGACTTTAAAAGTAAAAGAGAAGTTTCTGCCTTTTCCTCAAGGCACTAGGAAGCCATTGGGTTGAATGAGCAAGGGAGTGACATGGTCACACCTTGGCTTAAGGAAAGTCACTTTGGCAGCAGTATTAGAGGATGGACTTGAAATGGGAAAACTCAAGGCAAGGAGACTAATTAATTAGGAAATTGCTGCAGTAGTCTAGGCCAGGGGTGATGAGAGCTTGAATTAAGGTAATAGCTGTGAATAGAGAGAAGGAGTTGGCCTTGAGAGCTATTTTGGCAGGATTTGGCAGCTGTTTGGATAGGTGGGTTGTGGGGGAGAGTGAGAAGTTGAGAGTGATGCTCACATTATGAGCTTGGGAGACTTGGAAAAGTGGAGGCCTCTGGGACATTATATTCGGGTCTTAGTGCACCTTCTAGGAACTGCTGGAGAGCACCCAGAGGCTGATCAGCGGGATAGTGAGGGCACTTGAAGTCCAGGCCATTTGAAGGAAATGAGGCTATCTAGCCTCGGCAAGAGAAGAATTTGGGTTTGAGGAAGGAGGGAAACATGTAGCGGTCTTAGGATATTGGAAAGAATGTCATATGGGAGAAGGATTAAGCTCATTCTTCAGAGTGGCTTAGGACAAAGAATGCTGGGTTTGGAGTCAGGGGCTTGGGTTCTAAACCTGGTTCAGTTACTTCCTACCTGTGTGCTTTGGGCAAAGTACTTCAACCTCTGTGAGGCTGTTTCCTCACCAATGAGGGAGCTGGATACATAATCCCTCCCCTGGTTCCTTCTAGCTCTGGACCTGTGACCTTAAATTGCACCAAGGTCGATGTAAGTCAGTCTAAGTAAAGACTTTTTAACATTTATAGCTGTCCCAAAGTGGAGTGGGCCACCATAGGATGACTTAAATTCCTTGTTTCTAGAAGTCTTCAAGGGGAGGCTGAATGACCACCACTCAGGGTGGTTTCTGCTCAGGTTGAACAGGATATAGGCCTCTGAGGTCTCTTCCAACTCTGAGATTTCATGATTCTCTCCCAGCGGGAGAGCATCCATCTTTTGAATGAATGAATGAATAAAAATGCATTGATTAAGCATCTATTATCTGCCAAATACTGTGCTAGATCCTAGAAATAAAAAAAGAAAAAATAAGACAATCATGGGGTAAAGAGAGGCAGTGTGAGAAGGAGGTAAGAGAGAAAATAGATTTTTGTTCATTAAAAAAAATTGAATTTTTTTTAAAAGAATTAAAATTTAGAAATTTTTAAAAAGATAACTGCTGCTGTCAAGGATCTCACTGTCTGATTGAGGAAGATAACCCATAAAGAAAGTCAGCTGTAGAGAGGATGGAAAAGCCCCCTGAGTCCTGAGGGTGCATCAGAAGGGCAGAGGCAAGGCCCCGGGAGTCCTTAGGCTGTGTTAGTAGGTCAGATGACGTGCCTGAGGTCTGCCTGGTGTAGATGAGAAGGATGTAACTGTAAACACTGTTTCTCATTCCCCTTCCTGAGCACAGCCTGTGGACTGGAATGGCTGCCGGGCAGGACTGCAGGTGGACCGATCGGTGAAGGAGGTGTCCTGGGCCAAGCCAGGCACTGCCTCAGGCCTAACCATGTTGCAGTCCTTCATTGCCGAGAGACTCCCATACTTTGGGTCCGACCGAAACAACCCCAACAAGGATGCACTCAGCAACCTCTCCCCCTGGTTCCACTTTGGTGAGCCTTCACTTAACGCCTTCTTTTTTCTTCCTGTATCACCTCATGAGGACCCTACAGTTTCATTCTCTCATCACTTGGCTGGCTCTAGAACACGGTTTCTTACATGGGGTCTGTGAACTTTTTTTAAAAGATTGTTTTTGATAACAGCATTTCAATAGAATTGGTTTTCTTTGTAATCCTAGGTATTTTATTTTAGGCATTTGAAAACATTGCTCTTCAAAATTAAAAAAAGAAAGCAACATTAAAGTTATGTTCGTCATTTCTATTTGATTAGTTTCAAACTTGCTAGCTACATAATTATATATATTATATATGCAACATATAGAGACAGTTATAACTGTTAAAAATAAAACAAAAATGTTCTTCAAAATTAAAAAATATTAAAGTTATTTATGATTTATATTTAATGAGTTTTAAACTTGCTAGTTATATAATTATATATTAACAGTTATAACTATTAAAATATAAAATGTAAAAATTGTTCTTCAAAATTAAAAAATGAATGTTACATTTATGACTTATATTTGATTAGTTTCAAATTTGCTAGCTATGTAATAACATGTTATATATGTAATATATAATATATTAACAATTATAACTGTTAAATGAAAAATTCTTCAAAATTAAAAAGAATAAAGTTATAGTTATGGTTTCTATTTGATTAGTTTCAAACTTGCTAGCTACATAATTAGATATGTATGTAACATATAACGTATCATAATTGTTAAAAAGTTTTAAAAATAAAACCATTGTTCTTCAAAATTAAAAAATGAATGTTACGTTTATGATTTCTATTTGATTAGTTTCAAACTTGCTAGCTACATAAGTATATATTATATTAACAATTATAACTTAAAAAATAAAAACATTCTTCAAAATTAAAAAATAATGGTTATATGTATGATTTTTATTTGATCAATCAGTTTCAAACTTTCTAGCTATAGAATTAGATATATATGTAATATATAATATATGAACAATTATAACTTTAAAAATTTTTTAAATAAAACCATGGTGCTTCAAAATTTAAAAAAGAATGTTAAAGTTATGTTTGTTATTTCTTTTTGATGAGTTTCAAACTTGCTAGTTATATCATTATATATATATATATATTATATATATATATTATATATATATATATATTATACTATGTGATACATAATGCATTAACAATTATAACTGCTAAAAATAAAAACATTGCTCTGAGAAGGGTCTGTGGGCTTCCCCAGACTGCCAAAGGATCTAGGACACAAAAGAGTTTGTGAACCCTTGTTCTAGAAGATGGGAATGGAGAAGACCACAAAGGAACAATGAAGAGCAGCACTTAACCTCAGTTTAAGATTAGAATATCCTTGCTGTTCCTTTTTGTACGTGACTGTGACCTCTGTTGTAGGCTCCTAGGGTCATCAGTTCAGAGCTGGAAGGTACCTTAAAGATTGAGTCTAACCCTTTCATTTTATGGATGAGGAAACTGAGGATGGAAAAGGTTAAAAGTGACTCCATAGGAATATAGACTTAAGGCAGGAAGTGACGTTGGAAGTCACTAAGTCCAGCCCTTCTTTTGATAGATGACAAAACAATTCTAAAGAAGTTACATGCCCAAGACCCTACTGCTAGTAAGACAGGAATAGAACCCAGGTCTTTCTGATTCCAGGTACGGCGTTTTATCCATAATACAATGTTGCTCCCCAAGTCCTCCATACTTTCTTGGCACCTATATGTACAAAACACTTGTTGTACACAAATAAATACAAGTAAGCAGGTCAGTGTTCAGCCTTTAGGAGTGCACATCCTAATGGAAAAAGACAACACATAAAGGAGAGTCAGAGAAAGGAGGAAGCCATCGTTGTGGTAGGAAAGTGGTATGGAGTCCTCAGCAAAATAAGGCAAAGACTCTGCCTCTGCCAGCTTGGCATTTGTGGGGCAGAGCACTGGACTTGGAGTCAGGAAGACCTGCATTCAAATCCTGCCTCAGATAACCAGCTGTGACAAATAAGTTCACCTCTATGGGCTTTGGTTTTCTCATCTGTCAAATGAGGGTGTTGGATTCTAAGATGCCAACCTTCTCTAAATCCATGAGTTTCTGGCATGTGGACAGACAAGTATTTAAGAACCAATGTAGGAGCACCGGCCCTGAAGTCAGGAGGACCGGAGTTCAAATCTGGCCTCAGACCAAACACTTGACACTTACTCGCTGTGTGTCCCTGGGCAAGTCACTTAACCCCAATTGCCTAAAAAGGAAAAAAAAAACCCAAAACACCCCAAAGCAATTTATAGGACAGGTGGCTCAGGGAGGGAAAGATACAAGAAGAGAAACTGAAGTGAATTTAAAACTGACCAGTAGCTTTGTGTTTAGTGATATTTTTGTAGAGAGATATGAGGAGTCAAGGACTGACGTGGCTGTGCCCCTCATTGGTGGTGTGCTGGGTGTCTTTAGGGTGGCAGGGAGCTAGGGTGCTTCCTGTGCCCTGATGGGGCTAGCCTAATTTCCTAGATGTTTCTTTTTTCTCCTAACTCTGGTATCCCGACTCTCTCCTCCTGTCCCACCAGGGCAAGTCTCAGTTCAGCGGGCCATTCTGGAAGTGCAGAAACATCGAAGCCGGTACCCAGATTCTGTGACTAACTTTGTGGAAGAGGCTGTGGTGAGGAGGGAGCTGGCAGACAATTTTTGCTTCTACAATAAGAACTATGATAAATTAGAAGGTAAATATCACCCCTCAAACCCTTAGATGGGAATGGAGGAGTTTGGGAAGTCAATACTGCCTAATCAAATGAGATAATATTTGTAAAAAGCTTAGCACAGTGCCTGGCACGTAGTAGGCACTTAATAACTGTTGTTCCCTCCACTCCCCACCCCCAAATACCATGTATGACTCCCCTTTGCCTTCTTCCGTGGTCAGCAACCCACGATCACCTTCATATCTTCTTTCTCCATTTGTTCAGTTTATCTCTTTTGCTCTGGATCCAAACTTATTCAGCCTAAAATTAGATCAATTGCATTTTAGCAGCTGTTTCGTACTGCGGGCCTTAGTGAAGAATTTGTGAACAAATAAAATCCTCAGGTTTTTTTTTCTTTCACAACCATTCTTGAGTCAGATCTCTACCACTGTGTCCTAGTGCTAGTGCCTTTTATTTTTTTTATTTTTATTTTTTAATTTTTAGGCAATTAGGGTTAAGTGACTTGCCCGGGGTCACACAGCTAGTAAGTGTCAAGTGTTGGTCTGAGATCAGATTTGAACTCAGATCCTCCTGACTTCAGGGCTGGTGCTCTTTCCACTGCGCCACCTAGCTGCCCCTTATTTTTTGAACCTAACATGGGACTTTTTCATTTATTGTTTTTGGTTTCAGCCTGTCATTGTAGCCTATTGGTTGTTCTGAATTTTGATTTTGTGATTCAGTCATTCATTATTGCTTCTAGCTTTGCATCATCTGTATATTTAGTAAGTGGCTGTATAGGTTATCTTCTAAAAGTTGTTGACAGAAATTTTGAACAGGATAGGTCCAGGGACAAGCACTCCATTAAGCCTCTCTCCAGATTGACGTGGGGTTGTTACTCAGCTCTCTGGAGATGGCTGTTCAGATAGATACAAATCTACTAAACCATACTAACACTTCTTTATTTTGTTTACAGGAAATATTGACCATGTCAAACGCCTTGATGAAATCAAGATGTGTTTATGACATTGCCCTAATCTAGTTAATCCTTTATAAAAAAGGAAATTAAGAACTTGGCATGAATTGTTCTTCGTGAGCTTGTCCTAACTCCTTTTGGTTGATAATTTCTTTTCTAAAATATCTGCTTAATAATCTATTTTCAGATTTTACTGAGGAGTGGCATCAAGTTTATTAATTAGAAGTTTCTAGAATCTTTATTATCCCTCCCCCCTCTTTTAAAAATTGGAACATCATTTATCTGTCTCTAGTCTGGACATGTGTCTTGCTATCCATGAATTCTCTCTCTCTCTCTTTAAAGTTAAAAAAAACTCATCCGTTTCCTCTTCTCCCCTCTTTAATTTCAAGCAAATTAAAAAAAAATCCTTTCCTTTAAGTATTAGGTACTATGTTAGACACATATATGTTAAATATTGATATTGATTCATTATCTTCAGGACCGTTAATCATAATGTAATTTCCCTGTTTATCTTTTTATCTTTTTTTTTACATTCACTATAGCTTTGTCTGAAATCATGATTTGTATCCTTGCTTCTTGAATCATTGTTTTCTGTCTGGCCCCTTCTAATCTTCAGGGCATTCAGTTCTTTGTTTTGTTTTTTTTGTTTGTTTTTTGGCTAGGCAATGGGGTGAAGTGACTTGCCCAGGGTCACACAGCTAGTAAGTGTCAAGTATCTGAGGCTAGATTTGGACTGCAGGGCTGGGGCTCTATCCACTGCGCCACCTCGCTGCCCCCGGACATTGTTCTTGTAGGAGGTTTCCTACTGTCTGTTTGCTTTCCAGTCTTTCCTCCCTGCCTTTTCAATTCTGTATCTCGTTTCATTTTATTTAGGTACCCTTCCAGTCTGTGAACAGGACACTTTTTTTTTCTCTGAAGCTTTACTTAGACTTGTGGGGTTGATCTCCTCTTCAGGGTTTACCTGGAGTGTCTCTCAAACCAAGTTTTTTCTTCATGGTGTTCAGTTTTCCTTTCTTTCTGCTTTCCTTCCTGCTCCATGGGAGGATACTCGATCAAGCTCTGTAACAGAATGGAGCGGGCAGGGCCTGACCAGTCCCAAAGGTGGTTTGTCAGACCGAGCCTCTCTTTCAAGGGACTCCCAGAATATCTCTGTGTTGGGCTCTGCCTGGGGCTTCCTGATATCATGGACCTCCAGGACTTCTCCCTTATAGGATGCTCCCGGGGCACTTCCCTCTGGTACTAGAATCACAGGTTACTGTTATGCTGGGCACCCACCACAGGCTTCAGGGACTACTCAGACTGGATTTTGCCCAGGGACTTTCTCCCACAGTTTGGCTCAGGTCACTGATGCCCTGATGGACCCTGCCTGGAGTTCCCTGAGGGTGCTCTCTCCATTGGGTAGGGCTAGGTTGGAGCTCTGCTGGGATCCAGCCAGCCCCAGGCTCTGTTTTGGGGAAATACTGGGCTGAATCCAAAATGCCTTGAGGCTGCTCCCTCTAGAGTTAGACCCAGGCAGCCTGTCAGCCCCGGCTTTAGGAAAGGCTTGAGGGGCAGCTAGGGGGTGCAATGGATAGAGCACCAGCCCTGAAGTCGGGAGGACCTGAGTTCAAATCTGGCATCAGACCAAACACTTGACACTTACTAGCTGTGTGACCCTGGGCAAGTCACTTAACCCCAATTGCCTTAAAAAAAAAAAAGAAAAAAGAAAGGAAAGGCTTAAGTTTAGCTGGGTTCAGCCTCTTAAGAACTTAGGCAGGTGGTATTAGAACTACCCCCCACGGTTTCAGGAGCCCTGAGCCCACCCAGTTTGTCAGTCCTAAGATTTATGCAAGACTCAGTGGAGCATAGACATGATTCTTTCTGATCCTTAGGAGACTGGTGCATCTCTAAGCCCCTATGGAGTGTTTGAGGAGGATGTCCCTGTTGCCTATAAAATCTGTATTTTTTCATTAACCATACATTCTCCAAAATTGACAAAAATCATTGACTCTCAAGTTTGAAGGTTATCTAGTCTAATGAAACTTGATCTAGAATCCTTTCTATAACATGAGATGGGGCAGGACCTGTGATTTTATATGTATTGGGAACTCCTACCTAGAGAAACTCCCTCTACCAATACTAATAGCATCTTCTCTGCAACTGGTAGCCTTAGAGAGTTGTCTGGAGCTGTGAGAGGTCTGCCAAGGTCACATAGCCAGTATCAGACATTGGACTTGAACCCAGGTGTCTCTGACCACAGTGCCTCACTGTTTCTCGTAAGGATTATGTGACATTTTTAAGCTGTGTGGATAGAGAGCTGGCCTCCATGCCAGGAAGACCTGGTTTAAGTCCCTCCTCTGAGTCACATTGGTCATATGAACCAGGCCAAGTCATTTAACCTCTCAGTAGCTTTTGATCTGCACTAGTAGAGGGAATTGAGTCACTGGGAATTCCCTATCCCGGTGAAATCACAGCTCTGATTAGAAACAGAAACAACTTGCCTTACATAGCACTTTGGGGTATGCGGGGCACATTATCTCATCTGCGCCTTACACCAACCCTGTGAGTTAGGTACCATGAGTTATTATTGTCCCCATTTTATAGCTGAGGAACAGGCTGAAGGAGGCTAAGTCTCTTGCCCAGGGTGACACGGCTAGGAAACATCAGCCAGGATTCCCCCACCAGTCATCCTCCGGACTCCTCTTGAAGACTTCCAGAAACACACAACTTCTTGAGGCAACCCATTCCATTCTGGGACAGCTCCTTATTTATAACCCAGAAGGCACAGAGTTCACTTTAAAAAATATTGCGTATCTCCTTGTTATTCCAAATTGATTTAATAGTGCATTCATAATAACAGCCATTCCAAACTTTCCATCCTCCCAAAGCCTCCCAGTAAATCCTCTTCTCTCTCTTTGCACTTGAATTTGGCTCCATTCTTAGTAATCTGGGAGACGTTGGTCATGATCACCAACATTTTTGTCTTTGTATCCATCAGGGCATTCAGGGGGGTTCGTGCCATGATTTCACCTTGTATTTCTAACCTATTGTTTGGTCATTTTCATTCGTGTCCAGCTCTTTGTGATCCTCTGTGGGATTTTCTTGGCAAAGACACCAGAGTGGTTTGCCATTTCCTTCTCCAGCTCATTTTACAGATGAGGAAACCGAAGCAAACAGGGTTAAGTGACTTAGCCAGGGTCGCACAAGCTAGTAAGTATCTGAGGCCAGATTTGAACTCGGGAAGATGAGACTATCCTGATTCCAAGTCCAGCATTCTGTGCCCTGTGGTGCCACCTAGCCACCCTATTTCTAATCTTCTGTGTCACTATTCCTCTTACAAGTACCCCAGGCTCCAGACATGTAGTACTAACTTTCTAGAACACATTCTCTACTTTCCTGTCCCTGCTTTTGGGGGAATCACAAAAGTGTGTTTATAACCTGGGAGGACTGTTCTTATCTAATGGACGTGTTAGTTGATTCTAGGGAGGAATCCTCAACGGCCTTCATACTTCTCTGTGATCTAGTTAGGTGGTGGAGTTTCAATATTTCTAAGGTCCCTTACAGAATGATAGAGTGTTCTAACGTTCTGCTTCTATGGTTTTTCTTTCTTTCCTTCTCTCTTCTTCCCTCCTTCTTTCAATGTATGTGAATACATGTATGTATAATACATATATGTGTATGTATATATAAACTGTGTATATATAATACATATGTGTATGTGTATATATATAATGTTTTATATGTGCAACATTACATAATATGTGTGTATATACTCATTTTTGAGCCAGCTAGGAGGCTCAGTGGTCAGCTAGGTGGTATAATAGATAGAGTGCCAGGCCTGGAATCAGGAAGACTCAACTTCATGAAACCCCAGATGGGGTCATGAAGAGTTGGACACGACTGAAAAACAATAACATTTCAGCCAGCTTAATCAGATGAGAAATAGCACCTCTTAATTATCCAGTTTCTGAATTGCCAAGTCCCTTTGTTTGTTTTCACCAATTTGCTGTTTCACTGCCCAGAAGCACCGAGTATGGTCAGAGAAATAGGACACTGGGCTTGTGGGGCTTGTGGGAAGGTAGATTAAAATGAATAGTTGAAGGCTCAATAATTATAGTGACCAAACTTGTCTATAAAGAAGAGATTTTTATAAAATGTTCTCCCCTCCCATCTTTGTAGAGGTCGGGCCCATGGATATGGAACATTAGCTATACTGTCAGATTCCGTTGATATGTTGGTTAGTTTTGATGAAATACTTCCCCCCTCCTTATTTATTCTTTTAAAAGGGATAGCTCCCTGGATAGGGGAAGAAGAAGGGAGGGATATATTTGGAAATGACATCGTAAAAATAAAAGACATCCATAAACGTTGGGACTTGGGATTTGCTTTTCTACTTTGCATTTATGTGGATCATTGAAGGTTGGTCATGTATGTGATGGGGAGAGAGAACAAACTGATAAAAAGTATCTTTGGGCTAGTAGATTCTTGGCATTTCATCCTAAAACAGCCTTTCCTCCTCCTCCCACAGTGACCCACTGGAGAGTAAGCGGCTAAGGCTTGAGGGAGGGGAGGGAGAGAAAACTAATAGGGGAGTATTGTTATCTCCAGGTGCTTATGATTGGGCCCAAACCACTCTGAGGCTCCACGCCAAGGACAAGAGACCCCATCTGTACTCACTGGAACAGCTGGAGTCTGGGAAGACCCATGACCCACTCTGGAATGCTGCGCAGGTACTCTGCCCACCCAGGGTCACATTTCCATTCCTTTCTCACTGCCTACACCTCCACTCTTACCAAACCTGGGGGAGGCACTGCGTACAGTGGGGCCTTCCAGACTGGGTTGACAGGGATACCATAGAGAGTCTTCAGTCAATGTGCCCTCATCCTTCCGGTCCTGAATGATTTCCAGTGGGACTTGTCAGGCACAAATGTCCCTTCTGAGGAACAGACCCAGCAGGACACCAGGATATACTTGTTTTCATGTCTACCAAAGATAAAAAGCTGATCAAAGCTTTTCAAGAGGCTTCTATCTGAAGTGCACTCAAAGAAGTCTGTACCTCTGTCTTTACTTTCACATTTGATTTTCTTTGCATACATTCACCAGGCCCCGAGAATGCAGCCACACGGCTCTCACTCTTTCAAAGGGATTGTCCAGTTGAAGTCAGGACTGCCCGCTGAGGCCTGCCCAGCATGCACAGCTATTTTATGGTGCTTGTTTTTCTCTCTGAAGATGCAGATGGTGAAGGAAGGAAAGATGCATGGCTTCCTCCGAATGTACTGGGCCAAGAAGATTCTGGAGTGGACCCACTCCCCTGAGGAAGCCCTGGAGTTTGCGATCTATCTCAATGACCGGTTTCAGCTGGATGGCAGGGATCCCAATGGCTACGTAGGTGAGGATGGTTATTGGTTAGCTAGGAAGAGCAGGCCCCTGGAGTCCTGAAGGCCGATCCCTTAGGGGTCTCCTGCTTGACCAAAGATGAGCACTGCTTCATTTGGAAAAAGGCTCAGTCGGGGTCTTAAGTGATAGGCGATGGAGGAGCTATTAGGTTAGAGATGGGAGGGAGGGAACAAAGGAACAAAAAGAGAGAAGGCAGTGGGGAGAGGAGGAAAGAGGAAGGAAGAGAGGAGAGGAGGAGGAAGGGAAGGAGGAAAGAAAGGGAGAGGGAGAGAATGGGGAGATGGAAGGATAAAGGGAGGGAAGGAAGAGAGAGAAGGAAAGAAAGGGAAAGGGAAGGAAGGAGGGAAAGAAAGAAGGGCGAAGGGAGAGAAAGAAGGGAGAAGGAAGAGAGAAGGAAGGAAGGGAGGAGGAAATGAAGGAAGGGGGAAAGGAAAGAAGAAAGGGAGAAGGGAAGAGAGGGAGGAAGGAAGCATTTATTGTCTGTTATGTGCCAGGCACTGTGCTAAGCAGTTTACAAGTATCTCAGTTTATCTTCACCACACCCCTGAGAAGTAGGTGCCATTATTATCACCATTTTACAGTTGAGGAAATGGAAGAGGCCAGAGTTTAAGTCACTTGCCCAAGATCAAATAGCTAGTCTGAGGCTAGATTTGAACTCAGCTCTTCCTGACTCTGGGCCCAGTTGCTCTATAACTCACAAACTTCTTCATTTCACAAATGAGGAAACCAAGGCCAGAAGTCTAAATGACTTGCCCAGAGGCCACCAGGTAGGAAGTAGTAAAGCAAGGGTTCAAACCCCAGCTCCTGACTCCAAGCCCAGTGTTGTTTCTACTATATCCCACTGGTAAAGGAGACTGGGCTGGCCATTTCATTCCTACGTCCCCACTGGGCCGCTGTGCTTTCTAACGCCAAGAAAACCCCAGATGGGGTCATGGAGAGTCAGGACTGAGCAGCAGCACACCGTGTGCACTACACACGCCTCCACTCAGGCCAAGGAAGGAAACAAGATAGAGTGGGTGGGTGGGGAGGGGTGGCTAGACCCAAAGAATAGGCATTATTGATTTCAATGTAACTTGGCAGAGATGCTGGAGTGCTTTATCATCTGTTTTGCCGGCTCAGTCTATAAATGAGGAAACTGAGGCAGACGGGGTTAAGTGACTTGCCCAGCTAACTTCTACCTTAGAATCCTTGTGTCTTTCTCAATATACAGCATGTTGTAGTGGGAAAAGCACTTATTAGATTTGTAGCTAGAAGAAACAAATTCAGATCTTAACTCTGCTACGTGCTAATGAATTGTCTGGACCTCACTCTCCTCATCTGTAAAATGAACAGGTTGAATTAGGTGCCTGCTAAAGGCCTTTCCACTCTAAATTTATGCTCTTAAGTCTTGTGGCAGACCTTGGGCACTCAGGTGGCTCAGTGGATAGAGTGCTAGACTGCTAGTCTAAAAGAACTGAGTTCAAATCCCATCTCAGACATTGGCTGTATGACCCTGGACGAGTGGCTTAGCCTCTATTTGCTTTAGCTTCCTCTTGTAAAGTGGGAGTAATAATACCCCTCCCCAGGGTTATTGTGAGGATAAAGTGAGATATTTGTAAAACACTTTGCAAACCTTAAATCAATTATATTGATAATGATGTTATTGTTGCTATTATGCAGGATAGCCTTGGATTGACTTTCTTCTGAAATTCATTTGAATCTGATGTTCAGAATTGGTTCCTGTAGGAAATTACCATCAATTCCAATCAAATCAACACTTAAAGCCCTGCTTTTGGTAATTGGGGTAGGGGGGACTTTCCTCCTCTTTAAATACCTTCAGGAAAGGAGACAGCCTTCTCTGTGGTTCTGATGTTTCACCAGTGAATGGGGGAAAGGCACAGGGCAGGATGAAGACAGTGGTTGAGGATGGATGACTTCTTTAATAAAAACAGCAACAGTAGCATTTATGTAGCACTGTAAAAGCTTGTAAAGTGCTTCATAAACATTACCTCATTTTATCCTCATAGCTACCTGGGAAGTAGATGCTATTATTTCTAGTCTTCAGATGAGGAAACAGAATCTGAGAAATGTCATATTACTTGCCCAGGATCACACAGCTAGTGGTAATAATAATAATGATAATAATAATAACAACAAGAATAACATTTGTAAGCACTTGCTATGTGCCAGGCAAGTGCCCTACAATTATGATGTCATTTTATCCTCACAACAGTCCTGGAAGGTAGGTACTATTATGAATGCCATTTTATGGATGAAGAAATTGAGGCAAACAGAGGTGACTAGCCCAGGGTCACACAGCTAGTAGTAATAATAATAACTAACACTTGTATAGCACTTACTGTGTGTCAGGCACTGTGTTAACTGCTTTACAGTGATCTTACTTGATCCTCACAACAACCCTGGAAGGTAAGTGTTATTATTACCCCCATTTTACAGGTGAAGAAACTGAGGCTATGACTTATCCAGTGTAACAAAGCTAGTCTGAGGTTGGATTTGAACTCAATTCTTCCTGACTCCGGGCCTGTGCCACCTAGCTGCCTTTAATCTATTCCCTCTGTTTCTTTCCTGTGATACAGGCTGCATGTGGTCCATCTGTGGCATCCATGACCAGGGCTGGGCAGAACGTGAGATCTTTGGAAAGATCCGCTATATGAATTATGCCGGCTGTAAGAGGAAGTTTAACGTGGCAGAGTTTGAACGAAAATACAGCTCTGCGGATTAAGGGAACGTTGGGCCCCACACCTGCTTCTCCAGTCTTTCTACTTCCAGCTTCTCTCCTTAAGTCCAGTTTCTTCCCTGCACAAAGCACTCTGTTGGGAGGGCAGTGACTGGGGGAGAGTCTGAAGCCCAGGCTCCATTCTTTTGTTTAAATGGCTTTGCTGGCTCCTGCTCTTTCTTGTTTCTTACCTCCTTGCAAGCATCAGTGCTTTGTTTTACCTGACAGAGAATCTCCCTCTGGCTTAACAGGGCTTTTTGGTTGTCTGTTTCTAAAGCTTCACAGATGTTACCTGGAAATTGTTGTCAAATTAGAACCTAGCTTTCCTTGCTTTCTGTTTCCCTAGGTCCAGTACTCAAAAAGGTTAAGAATTCCTGTTTTAGGCAGCCTAGGTATTTATCTAGATACACTGCTGTCTCGGAAGGATGGTTTTCAATTCATCAGAATGGGGCAGGTCATCCTCGATGTGAACTGAACCTTAGTCCTGAGGTTGCTAGGCTACCCAGGAGAACCAGTTCCAGCCTGAGGTTTGTTTGTTGCTTTGGTGATGGTTACCGGCAACAAAGTAGATGCCCGTCACTTGGGGAAGTGGTTTAACAAATGGCGGGGCCTGAATAATGGAATAATTACTGTGCTGTAAGAAATGGAGACAGAAGGATGGAAATACTGAACTGATGCAGAATGAAGTAAGCAGACACAGTGGGTACAATGATAATAAAGACAACCGCAAAACAATCAAAACTGAATGCTGGGAAATTACAAAGACCAATCTTGGCCCCAAAGAAGAGAGAGAAGGAGACACCTTCCCGTGCTCTTTTGTTGAAGCAGCGGACCATGGGTGTGAGACACTGCATATATATCATCAGATGTTTTTTGAAATGTTTAGTTTTGTGCAGCTTAATTATAAGGAATGTTCTCTGGGAGGTGGTGGGGGGATGAATATGGTAGGAAATATAGGAGGCATATAAACAAAAGATATCAATAAAAATTTATTTTTTACAATAGCCTAAAGCTTTACAGATATGTCCCTGAAATGTTCAGATATACATTTTGAGTGTTTTGTTTATACCTTCTCTGGAATTTGGTTTCTGTATCTGGAGAACCTAGAACCCACACCTTCTGTTGATGGGAGTATTCAGTCTTTCTTGGTTAAATCTCTGGAGTTTATAAAATCCATTGAAATGCAGCTTTTGTCTATACTTCTGTGAGAATGTGTCTGATTCAGAATTATGTAGCTTTTAATCACTCAAATCAAGTGTTGGGTTGTGGGGGATGGGGTGGTAGTGGTGGAATAATTCATCCACTCCTTTGGGTATTTCTGGCAAATCATTAATTACCAAGTCAAATCGACCTTTAGAAAGCTTTTGTTGTCTTCTCGAAAACTGTGTACACATCTGTTGTGACTTAAGCCCATTGGGGATGGGGGCCTTTTCAACTGCTTTTGACTCTGTGATAGAATTGAGTTTGTGCACTCGTTTCCAGAGCTCGATCTGATTTTTTTCCAACTCTGCCTTTGTTGGATGGGAAAAGAGATCCCTAGTTTGCTTAAATGTTGGGGAAATTGATAAAACCCCAAACCTGTTCCTACTGGGGAGCTCAGATCTAGAGCTGAAAAGGACCAACTAGTAAAATTGGCGTAGGCTAAATCGTCTGATTTTGTAGATGGGGAAACTGAGGCCCAGGAAAGTTAACTGATTTGTCCAAGGTCATCAGGGACAGGATTTGAACTCAGGTTTTCTGATTCCAGAGCCAGGGCTGCTCTTGCATTACAGCACCTTGCTTTACAGGATACAATCATCTGGTTGAGGCTAGATTGCTATTCAATTAAGGAATTGGCTTTACTGCAGAAAATTAGAGGCTACTTAGAAGACTGTGAAGATGTAGGAGGAAGGGCTCAGTTTCCTCATCTATAAAAGGAGGGAATTGGACCAGATGATTTCTAAGGTCCCTTCTGATTCTGATGACCCTGTCATCTGGTGGCAGTGGGCTGAACAGACTGGAAGGTCACCCCAGTAGTTAGGACCTGAACAAAGGTGGTAGGCATGGATGGAGGAGATACAACAGAAGAATCTATGGGACTTAGTGACCCATTAGTTATGGGTCCAAGGTGGTGCTTGTTCCAGCACCTGAGTCACAGAAATAGTAACCAGACACAACTTAAGATTTTCATATTGGGTGACCGGGCAGTAATGGGAGTTGCTCCCTTCCTTAGAATATTATAAAAGTAAAGAAATTCTACTCCAAAGCCTTTGGACTGATCTTTGCAGATTGCACCAAAGCCTCCAGCAGTTTTACAGAGGGACAGTTGGTACTATAGGTTACTGCTTACAGAGAGAAAGCATGACTCCTGATTGGCAGAGGGGATGCCATGTACCTACTGTAAAAGACTTCAGATGGTTCTAGAGGTTTTCGGGAGTCTTTAGACTTTCCCATATGGAGAAAGGACCTCCTGGGAAGCAGTGGGGAAAGACTTTCAACGGCCAACTATAGCCCTTTGTCTCTCTCAACTTGAAAAAAATCTCCCTCCATGCTTCCATTCCCACTGTTGTCCTTTATCTCTTCTGCTCTTTGTGCCTAAACTCCCTGAAAAGGATGTCTCCAAGGTGCCTCCACTTTCTCTCCCCTCACTCTCTTAAGTACCTACAATTGACTTCTGACTTCTCCATTCCACCCAAACTGCCCTTTCCAAAGTGGCTGAATCCAAAGGCCTCTTCTCAGTCTTCATCCTCTTTGACCTCTCTGCAGCTTTTGACACTGTTGGCCATCATCTCCTTCTAAATGCACTCTTCTCTGGCTTTTGGGGGCAGTACTCTCCCCTGGTTCTTCTCCTACCTTTCCAAATGCCCCTTCTCAAGTCTCCTTTTCCTCTCCCAGAGCATGCCGCTTACTGTAGGTGTTCCTCAGGGTTCTGTCCTGGGCCTTCTCTTCTCCCTCTACACTACTTCATGTGGTGATCTCATCAGCTCCCATGGATTTAATTATCTCTATGCTAATGATACGCAAATCTACTTGTCCTTCCCCAGCCTCTCTGCTGACTTGCAATCTTATATATCCAGCTGCCTTTCAGATATCTCAAACAGTAGACATCTTCAACTAAACCTATTCAAAATAACTCATTCTTTCCCCCAAAACCTCCTTCCCACCCCCACCCCACTCCACTTTCCCTTTACTATGGAGGGCAGCACTATCCTCCTAGTCCTTCAAGCACACAACCGAGGTGTCATCCTGGACTCTTTCCCATCTCACCCCCAATATCCAGTCTGTTGCCAAGGCCTGTTGATTTCATCTTATATCTGCCCCCCTTCTTGGACGCCGACACCAGTGGACAGCAGGACATTATCACTCCTTGTCTGGATTATTGCAATTGCCTGCCTCAAGTCCCTGCCCCCGCCCCATCCTCCCTTCAGCCACCAAAAGTGATTTTCCCATCGTGCAAATCTGACCACATTACTTGTTAAACTCCAATGGTTCTCTATTGCCTTCTGAACCAAATACAAAATACTGCTTAGCATTCAAAGCCCTTCCTAACCTGGCCCCCTCCTACCTTTCTAGTCTCCTTAGGCTTTATTCCCAACGTATACTCTTTGATCTAACACTGGCCTCTTGGCTGTTCCATGGACAAGATACATCTCTTGCCTCTGGGCATTTTCTCTCACTATCTGGAATGCTCGCTCTCTCTCCTCGATTCCATCTACTGACTTTCTTTAAGTCCCAACTAAAATCCTGTTTTTTACAGAAAGCCCTTTTCAGTCCCTCTTATTTATGTACCTTCCCTCATTTATTTATCTTGTATACAGCTTACTTTGTATACATTTGTTTGCATGTTCCCCCCCCCCCCCCCCGTTACATTGTAAGCTCCTTGAGGATGAGGTTTGTCTTTTGCCTCTTTTTGTATCCCTAGTACTAGGCACAGTGACTGGCAAATAATAGGCATTTGATAAATGCTAGCTGATAGGAGAAATGACCTCCTGAGTAGAAAAGAAGACTTTCAATAGCTAACTATAAGCCTGTGAAGCTGTGGAAAGCCTGGGAGCCAGACCCATCATGTTCTTGATCTCCAGGACTTGTAATTCTATAGACTGTTGAGTATCTCCTTTTGGGTGAGATCATTCTTTCTCTCCAGGTTTGAGCTGAGATATTACCTTGCTCCCAAGCTGATAAGCTCATTTTTGGGTGTGTTTTTTAACCTGTAGAACTTCTCCAACTTCTGTTCCTTTGACTGGATAAATGGATCTACTCTCTCTGAGGGTCTCCTGTGTAACGTCTGGTGGGGAGGGACAGAGATAGTGACTGTAAAGCATGCTGGTGATGCATGGCCCTTTGCCTCCTTTCCTTTCCACAAAGGCAGGCCAAACCTCAAATCATCTACAGATCCAACTGGGTGCCTCCATATTCAGACAACCCACATATATATCTTACATTCTCATCAGTCTTTCTCTATCAATACTGAAAAAGTGTCCTGCTCCCCTCTCTCTGACTAATCCAGGTACATTTCATCTCTTGAAGTAGCTAGAGTAATGACCATCAAGGAAGGATAAGAGCAAAGGGGCCTTTGACAGAATCACCAAAGAGCAGTAGCCTCTTTCCAAAAGCCCTGAAAGGATAAGGATAATGAACCACTAAGAAAAGGCAGAGGTCTCTTAAATCAGAGATGTGCCAAACATGTAGCTGTCCCACCCTAAACAGATTAAAATGTTAACCAGGAAATGTTTAACAGAATAAATAAAAACCCAATACAACAGATATTAATTTGTGGTTTTCTAAGTCAATATTTGGCCTGCAGGGATCCCAGTTCCACTTAACACCATTGTTTTAAATTACATAAAGTTCCCTGGAATCAGTTAGGGAGGAGGGAAGGAAAGAATAAGAGGGATTGAATAGTAGTTTTAGGGAAATTATTCTCTAGGATTAACTATTGTTCAGGATTGATGAATCAAAATGTCAACTTTTCCCTTATCCTGATTGTGTAATTATGTTTTATCAATGTGTGGGATTTCTTTATTCAAGAATCCGATAAATGTTACTTCAAAATTTGGAAGAAGTCACATGGGAGAGATATCCAAGGGCATGAAAAGACTGCCAGTTTATCCATTTCTCTCTCTATGCTACAAAAATGCTTGTATTAGGATAACACTAAATCAATAAAAATTGTTTCTGGTAGACTTGTCCCTATAGTTTAGAATACCATATTTTTTTTCAGTCTCTCTAACAAAAATAAGTTAGGTAGGATCAGGAACCAACTTTAGAAGATGAATTTGTTTTCGACATGGGTTTAAATATCCATGTGGAAACGTCAAACAAGTACCTGGAGTTTTAAGAGAACCTTAGACAGAAGCCAAGACTGGGGCCATAGACGAACGCAGAGATGATGTGTGAAGCTGCTGAACCAAAAGAGGTGGATGTTTAATAAGTCACGTTCTAGCCAAACTAATATGACATCTAAAAGATCCTTTTGTGTACACTATGGCCCAGACTGGGAAACCTGCCCATTCTTGGACGTGCTCTGCTCCTGGTGGGCCCCTAATCTGCAAGGACAGGAGAAAACAGGAAGAATTTCATTTCCATAGTTTATTAAAGGTGACATTGGACTGTTAGACTGTGTAAGAAGTACAATACAGCACGCAAAAATCCAGCTCAGAATACAATGTACTTTATGACACACAGACGGACCTTCTCTATTTATACTCATGACATTAATCACATTATTTATTACAATAGACTCTAATATCTTGGTGAAGAAAGTCAAGAACAGCCTCATTGGTGTGGAATATTTACTTTCCACCCCTCTGCCATGTCTTGAATCTTGTCCCCACTTTTGTAAGCAGCTGCCTTTTCCTTCACTTACAGAAAATAAATACTACCCACTCCATACAGAAGAAGAGATTTTGTTCAGTGGCTCCTTTACCCCACCCCCAAATTAAATCAGTGCACAGAGAAATCCCTCCTCACACAGAACACTGGATTTTCAGATACTGAAAAGCTGGAAAAGTGCTTTTAAAACATTCTCATATTCCATTCCCCCCTCACACACACATATACAATGTTCTTCTCCTCATCCCTCCATCCCCCAAAAAACAAAACTCAAAACCAGGGGCCCTTTGGACGGTGATGGGAATTTGACAGTTACTGAACCAGATTAACAACTTGGAATGAAGTGAAGGAAATGAAAGAACCAGAAAACTGCAAGATTCCCCAACTGGGCTGAGCTGCTAATGGCAAACGGGCAGGGCACTAGGCAGCACATTTCTCCCTCCTCGAGGGACTAGATGAAGGAAGGTTGGCCTGGTGGCCTATGTCAAACCTGAAGGCAGGGATCACCACCCCAGTAGGCCTGCGGGCCCATCACCACTGCTTTTCAAGGCCCCTTCTCCAGGTTCTGGGACGTGGCAAATGGGCTTCCAAGCCTAAAGGTGGAGAGACTGTGGGCGGGACGGGACAATTAGGCTTTGTGGAGGCTCAAGCGGCAATGACCACAGGCCAGCACTCAGGTCACAGTCACACTGAGCCACACTGAGGATCTCCCACAGGAGTTGTACTACTTACCTACCACTATGGCCATGCTCTGATCACACCTTTTCTTCCACTGAGACTCACTTCTATGGTGCTCTCAACTCATTCACTCTATCGGCCTCCACTGAACACACACAACTTTCAGTTCCCCTCCCTGAGACAGCCCACGGGCCAGACTGCCCACATTAGACACACGCAACAGCAGGAAGACAGGAACATGAAGACAAAAGTGCCCAATGGCAGTCCAGAAAGCAGCAATCCTCAAAGTCTGGGGCTATTGGTTTTACTTGTGGTAGACAAGGACACAGACACCAATAGGAAAGTGACCAAAAAACCTTCCACAAATGCATACATTTCCAAACTGAAAACTTTTCCCCAAAGTACATAAAATGAAAAAATAATTTAAAACGAAAAGGACAATTGGATACCTAAGTGTCACTAGGCTAGATTAAGGGTTTTTAAGTGCATAATTGGCAACAGTTGACTTGTGTCTAGCAAAAGGAGGAACATAAGTCACTTGCCCACAGGGACCCAGCCACTTACAGCGACAGCTTGGCTCTGCCTCCCCTAGGGGGGAGTACCTACCACAAAAGGGATGACAACAAAGACCGGGCACCGAGGATGGCATTGGGTTCACTACTGGACACGAAGAGGAAGGAGAGCTGGGCTTTCCCTACAGTCACCATTGACCAGAGGCCCCAGCAGCGGGACAACCCGTAAGCAAGGCAGCAGGATTTCTGCACTCAGTTTATGGTGATATCAGGGAACTTGCCTGACTGCCAAAGATCCTCCCCTCACCACAATGCTGAAATGGCTAAGGGCTGGAATTTTAACATGCAACAAGAGCTGACAGAACAGGAGAGACACACCTCAATCCACCTACGTGGAGAATCCCCTTTAAAGCAGGCAATGAGCTGCTGCCTCAGTCACACCTGCTTTGCTTGGACAGCCACAGGAGCTGTTATCAGAGGGCTATTCTGCGCCTGTCCCTTGTGCCAACCCCACCAGAATAGGCTCTGTGGACATTTCGTTTGCTTGGGAAGTGACAGTAGGTGCAGCACACCCAGGATGCTATTTCTGCTTTACACTGCTCCTCCTCAGGGTTTAGTCTAACCAATTCCAGGGTTGGGGGGAGAGAGAGGAAGAAAGGAAAAAAAAATTTACTGTTTTAGTAGGAAAGGAGAAGCAAGTAGGTTCTGCTAAGGACTTGGGAAAACCTTGGTTCAAAAGCTCTGGTACCAACAGGAAAAGAGTGGGATGTGTACTGAGGATATGAGGCAGTAACCAGGAAGGGCACACTGAAGGACCAGAAGGTGGCAAAGGAAGTGAGGTCCAGAAGTCCTTGACCACTGCCACTCCTGGTGGAAATTTCTGGTTCCCAACAAATCCTCTTCCATAGCAGACTGGAAAGCAGGGAGCCCAGTAACCTGGCACATACCAGGTAAGGTGCCTAGATGAGGGGCTCATATGAGTTATAAAAAATAAAATAAAAAACCCCTCAGGGTGGGTTGGGGAGGGGGGAGTACACAGGATGGCTCAGTTTTGAGTGTCGTGACACGCGCCATTCTTCAGGTGGCCTCCAGAGCCACGGCCTCGGCTGTCTCCTCCTCCTCATAATCGGACACACAGGACTCCAGGCTCTGCTTGGCCAGCAATTCTCTGCGGGCCTGCAGCCGTGTGCACTTCGGGCAGCTTCCAGACTTGAAGCAGGCTTTGTGGTAACAAGCTTTACACTCTACACAGGATTGGGAGCAGGGTAGTGAGAAAGAGGAGAGAAACAAAGAGAATAGGTCTCTGTTATCCCGGGCTTGGATTAATTACAACTCACCACAAAGTGACGCATAGGACTACCACAATAGCACAGATGGTTGTTCATTAAAACAAGACAAAAACATATTTGAAATCCCAGAGCTGGAAAAGACCCCTCAGATCACCTGATTCACTCTTTTATTTTCCATATTTTATGTTAGATTAAGAAAATCGAGGGTCCCCAAAGTTAAAAGACCTGGTTCCAGTCCTTTGGTAGCTAGGACTAGAACCCAGCCCTCCTGAACCGCACTCTGTTGTCCTTTTCAGGATTCCAAAAGGTGACTCTTGACAACCGAGAAGGCAGCATGAGGTGGGTTACTTTTGTTCTCCCTCCTTCCCCTCTGGCCTCACCTTCACAGGTCCGGCACTTATGAAGTTCAAATGGAAAAATGATATCATCCTCATCCTGACAGAACTCACAGATAAAGCCCTTAGCTTGGCAGAGCTGAAGAAGAAAACAGACAGGAAAGGGATTAAGGGCAGAATACCAGGGGCCAGCATGAAGGGGCCATCACATTGGAGGGCAGTGCAAGCATGGAGGGGGGCCTGGGGAGTCAGAACACACAGTGCCCGGCTGGAAAGTCTGCCTGTGTTCTCCTTCTGGCCATGAGACCTGACTCACTTCCTTCCATGTACTACGAACTCTAGAGCCCCACAGGGGAAGAAGAGGACAGAACTGTGGGTCAAAAATGTTGGGCAAAGGGGAAGCTAGGTGGCACAGTGGATAGAGCACCAGCCCTGGAGTCAGAAGGACCTAAGTTCAAATCTAGCCTCAAACACATAACACTTACTAGCTGTGTGACTCTGGGCAAGTCACTTAACCCTAACTGCCTTGCCAAAATAAAAAAAAAAGCAAACAAAAAAAGAATGTTGGGCAGAAGCTCTGGAAAGAAAGGCCAAGAACAAGACTGGTTTCCTGATGCCCTTGGCCATGGGGCTGAATCTCAATGAGGCGAAAGAAGAGAAGGGAATGACCTCAAGGTCAGTTAGCAAAATTCTCTGTTATCTAGGGCATCTTAAATACATTGCTCCAGTTTGGGTTATCATTTAAAAACAAAATGTCCTAAATACACAATAAACATTAAATATAAAGGGTAAGGTCATTTCTCCACCACGGAAGTGGAAACCTTTGCCACCCTCCTAAACCCAAGCAAGATTCTCTGCCCCTTCCCTTGCTCCAAGCTCCTCAACAGGGGAGACCCTAAGAACTCAAAATGGAAATTGTCTGAGCACTGAAGTAAGGGATCTCTGGATTTCAGGCATTCGGGACACCAAGACTTGTGCTAGGTGACTCAAGGGCATTGCCAGGATTGAACTCTCCTAGTATTTGCTCCTCCATGAAAGAGGTTTCCCTTCTCGTAATCTGCATCTATTTAAGAAGAATCCAGTACAAAGTAATCCTGTGCTATTTCCTTCACTATTTACTCAGAAGTGAACTATCAATTAAAGCATTCACATGAATCAAAAAGCAAAAAGTTCCCACCATGCAGTGCTGTACATGTGCAGTGCCTGCCCTGGTGAGCTCTGAAAGCTGAGGGGCCAGCTCCCCCTTCTTGGTGGTGCTCAAGTCATTGAGGGAGTACAGGTGGAGATCTTCTGTCAAGTGGCCCGGCACCATGTCAAAGGCATCCAGAAGGCTGTAAGGACACAGGAGGGAAACACAGTGGGGAGGAGGCCCTGTAGCAGCCCTCTACATCAGACCACCGTGTGGGCAACCACAGAGCCCTGGGTCCCAGCCGAGCATGCTCCTGCTATGCCCACGTGCTCTAGACCAAACCACTCCCCCTACCCTGACAGTAAGTAGGCTCCTGAAAAGTGACACTTTCCAATTAAATGGGAGACAGATTAGAGCCCTCCTTCATAATTTCAGTCACCACCACAAAAATCTCTTCCATGAGATGAAGGTGACCAAAGCACAACTGGTGATGGAGTCTTCATGATGCCATTTTTAGATCTCCCAAGAGCCAAGGCTTTACTTAGGCAAAGCTCAGAAACAGAGAAACTATAAAGCAGTGGTAATCAAAGGGTGGTCCACAGACCCCTGGGGGTCTTATGGGGAAGGAAATGGGGGTTACGGGGCCAAAACTATTTTCCTAGTAACAGTGAGATGTTAGTTGCCAATTAAAAATCTCCTCTCTTTTCTAACTATCTTCATAAGGCTGGATTTTCTTCACTTATTTCAGTCAAAACAATATCACAACAGATTGAATACTAAAGCAGATATGAGACTCTAGCTGTTTTCTATTAAGCCAGAAATCACATTTGTATGAATATGTAAAACAATGTCACTTTTCTCACTAAATTTTGTTTCAGAAAATAGTTCTTTTTTCATAAAAATGTTATTGATGTTAAGATGTACTGGGTTTATTTTAAAATAAATTAATATTTTTAAAAATCTGTCAGTTTTCATTTCTAATAGAGTAAATATCAGCAGAGTTAACCCATGTAAACAAGTCTCTGAGATCCTTAATGATTTTTAAGAGTGTGAAGAAGTCCTGGCACCCACAAGTTTGTCAGTGGTTCCTAGAAAGGGATCCCAGGTTCATATAGCCCACGAGAGACTCACTCTTTCGCCAACCGGCAAGTCTTGAACATGTTCTTCATGTGGTACAGCTGGATCCGCAACAGCTGAGTAAAGAGACGTGAGGGAGGGGGCAAAAAGGGCAAGTTAGGGCTTCGGAAGAGGCTGACCCCTTGGCATCTAAGAAGCCTACCTATCCATGAAACTGTACTAGAAGACTCCTCAGAAACACAGCAGGCCATGAATTTAAGAAGACCTGGTATGCCAGTCCAGCCTGTTCCCAAGGGCAGTACAAGCGATGACAGACCTAGAGAACCGAGGCCATCCAGGTTACCTGGGTGGTCTGCTTAAATTCACAGTGTTGATGGCTGAGGGGAGAAAAGAACTCAGAAAGCCCCACCCGCAGACAATTAATACTTAATTTACCAGTAACAATACTTCTGAGTGACTCATGTCCAGAGATTTATGACAGATCCACAAGGCATTAAATCTGCTTCTCTGGAACAGGTACTCAGGACCATTCTCAGGTTTGGGATTCTACCTACCCTAAACATCTGGGAAGGGGGAAGAAAAATCAGGAAGGACAAGGAACCTCACTTGGAAGTTCAAGGCCAAGAGGAAGAAAAGTAGGAAGATATGAGGAGAGCCTAGGTGGTGCACAAAAGAAAGGAGGCAATGAGAAGGGAAAGGAGTCTATGATGGTCCTCTTCCCACAGCCTTACCCGGACTTGATTAAGCAGCTTGACCTTCCTATAGAGGGCACTGTTGATGTCCTGCACATTGAAGAGTGGATCGTTCCAGATCTTGGTAAGCAGGTCTTTGGAGAAGTTGCTGACATAGTACTTGCTGAAGTCCCATTTGCGCAGGATGCGACTAGGGATGACCGCCTGGGCATTCCCATGACAGCACTGGCAGAAGTACTTGCCCAGATATTCACAGTAACGAAGTCGCTTGATATAGTCTGGGGAGCAGGAAGGCCAAGGTAGACAGAATGGTAAAGCTAGGGTCCCGTATCTAACTAACGGGGTAAGAAACAGCATCTTTGGTGGGAAGGAAGGCACAGGAATGACAGAATTCCGCCCCCCTCCTCCCCCAAAGGCTGCTAAGGATCTAGCCTTCAGGGACCTTGTTGAAACATCTAGCTTTCTCCTTCATCACAGTCCCAGTGACACAATCTAAGACAACCGATGATATTCACACAGACTGCTAGGGTTCTCCCAACTTTACCCTCTCCTGTCTCAGTCTCTTTCTCCTTCCCCTGGATATTGTCCATCATTCTTTTTTCATCTCTTCTCTGAATATCACTTCTTGTCTCCCAAGTGTGGATCATGGGGGAAGAGCAACCCATGGAGCAAGGTGGGAAGGAGATACTCACCAGGGTCTGTTCTGGTACCACACCCCGCACAGCGGTAATTCTGCTTGGCCACAGCAACTTTTCTCCTGTGACAAGAGGGAGTAGGTCAAGGACTGGCAGATGTTTGGCTGCTGTATCTCGCATGCCTTCACATCAAGGGGCTGGGAGATACTAACACTGGACTTTCACTTCCCAAGAGAAGAGAATTTGCTTATTTGCAGGTCTGGCCATCTGGCTTTTGTGACCCAATTACCAGCAGGACCTCAGAAGGATCACACCTGACCCTGGGGGATTAAGGCTGTAATTTCAGAAAGGGATGCCTACAGTAGACAGCCTTCATATCAGAATACAGGATCAAAAAGCAGGGAAAGAAAGGCAATAATAGACTAGAGGGAAACCACTCAATGCCAAATACTGTAAAGATACAGCAGAAACCACTCAAGACCATTGAAAAGAGGATGAAGGTCAAGGAATGCGAGTAGCTAGTGAACTTGTTAAAAGAATAACTCTGGGTAGGTACCAGAGTCAGCAACCAGTGTCACTAATCAACCCACTGGAAGAATTAGATTCAGGAGAGGCCATAATCTTCTCCCACTTTAAAGGGAATCAGATGAGCAGGTAGGGGAGGCCACATACTGAGAAGGGTGAAAAGAAATCTCTGGCACCTCATAAAACAAATGTGGTCACTGGTCACTTACGTGGGGGCAGGATGGATGTTAAAGATGATCTGGGGACGGGGTGGGGCCCACTCCAGGTTCCCTCGAACTCGGATGCGTAGCTTGTAGATGTCAGCATGCTGCCCATCATCTGGCGAGATGGGCAATGAATCAGGGATGGGCAGGAGCTGGAAGAGAGAGACAAGAGGGAACTGGAGGGGAGCAGCATAGGAAATCCATCCCTCCCTTGTTGGTTAATCAACAAGAATTTGTTAAGCCCCTACTACTTGCAAGATACTATGCTAGGGAATACAAAGACAAAAATGAAACCGTCCCTGCCCTCCAGAAGCTCATGATCCATCCCACATATTTTACCCATCAAAAAATGCCATGACTGAAAGATGCCTCAGTGACAACCACGGTGACTTTGGGTAACCTTAGCTTTCTCTCTGAGCCAGTTCTGTCCCTGCCCCATCTTCCCTGGGCTCCATCCCAGCCGCTCCATCTGAGCCACGTACGCTGGTTCTCGGGCACAATTTTCCAACAATCCCCCTAGAACTCCTCTCTGCTATTAAAATTCTGTCACTGTCCCCAAGGGGCAACGATGGCCCAGTGGGAAGAGATCACTAGAGTGCTAACCCAGAATCCCACGTCTGGTTTGAGGCCAGACCTAGCTTTAGTCCAGGATCAGGAGGTATTAATCTTTTTTATTTTGACCGCATAGAAAACTATCACCCCCAAAGCTAAACAAAAAAATATTTTTTTTGATTTTAGTGAGGCAATTGGGTTAAGTCACTTGCCCAGGGGCACATAACAAGTATGTGTCAAGTGTCTGAGGCCGGATTTGAACTCAGGTCATCCTATGGTGATGTGTTGAAATTTATGGCCTCCTTCTCAGAATAATGTTTTTAAATGTATAAAATAAAACATATGAGGTTACAAAGAGAATCAATTTTGCTGAAAGTTATCAAAATATTTTAAAAGAAGTTTACATATGCCAAGTTAAAACCGCTGGTCTGGAGGATATTGGGAAGGATGGTAGGCCAATCCTTGTGATCCCTAGGGATGAGGGGGAACAGGGAAGGGACTGGGTCCCTGGATTTCTATGGAATGAATATAAAGTCTGAGACTGACCCTCAAACTCAGCTGGCCTCTCTCTGAATGAATTTGACAAAATGTCCTGCATCTTACTGACACTCTGCTTTTCTTCGTATGGATGACAGGAGACTAGCATTAAGGCCAAGACTCACCGCATAGAAAACTATCACCCCCAAAGCTAAACAAAAAGAAAAAGTCTATTCTGGGGTGAAGAAGCGGCTCCCTCACAGACACAGCTGGGTGACAAAGAGAGAGAAGTCTAATGTGTGGCCTATGACTACCAAAGGAGCGGATACACAAGCCACCCTTTTCCCACATCAACTGATGGGAGAAGGCAATATGTCTCTTCACCCCACGTGTCACACATGCAAAGGATCGGGGAGGAGACAGGAGAAATGCCACGTGAGGCAGCCTTGTGGCAAAGGCTTGAAGTTGGACGGAAGGGGGTGAAAGGAGCAGGAGGGGGACCTTTACCTTCTGTGGGGCATCGTGCTCAGGAACCAACCACTCTAGCTCTGAGGCGGCTGGGAGCTGCATCCCTTCAAATTGCTTCAGAAGGCCCATGGCCACAGCCTCGGCTGACGTGGAATGCAGAAAATAGTGGGAGCTGGTGAAGAGAACAAGACGGGAAAGAAAACATGTAGACTGAGCATTGGAAAAGACGGAGGGCTGTAGGGCCAGCCAGGAGACCCCACCTCTCACCCAGGCTATGGGAAGAAGGGAGGTGTGGAATGGAGGCCATATTGTATCAACTGCTTTTTTTTTCTTTAGCTTCTCTTTTATCCTAACTGAAAGCAGAATTTGCTTAGGAAGGTTTCTTTTCTTTCTTTTTTTTGATTTTAGTGAGGCAATTGGGTTAAGTCACTTGCCCAGGGGCACATAACTAGTATGTGTCAAGTGTCTGAGGCCGGATTTGAACTCAGGTCCTCCTGACTCCAGGGTCAGTGGTCTATCCACTGTGCCACCTAGCTACCCCAAGGGGTTTCAACTCTAATAAGTCTGATTTTCTGGAATTCTCTTATTTTCATATTCAGAAACTAAGATCCCCTGCTTCCTTGGTTGGGATCTGATTTGTGGTATGGAAGAAAGCACACTGGCCTTGGGTTCAAGTCCCCAGTTCCCTTACCTCATAACCACTTATACTTAATAAGCGCTAGCCCTCACTTCAAGCATGTGTTGTACTAAGGCTTAGCGCTTCTTAGAACAGAATCTTAAGACTTAGAAACGGAGGGAGGAAAAGGGAAGGAGTGGAATAAGCATTTATAGGGTGCCTATGAGGTGCCAGGCATGGTGCTAAGCCCTCACCAAACAGCATCTCACTGGCTCCTGAAGGGGGTCCTCCCTCCCTCCCAAAGTAGGAATCTTCTCCCCACACCCCAACAGCTGACCTTGCAGCTGCTGCTTTCATGCCTCCATGCTCACCACTATGGCACAGAGCCGAGGAGACCTGTGGCCTTAACCCCGGAGACAGCCAAGGCCTTTTGTCCCCAGGCCCTGGGGAGACCTGATGGTTTCTCCTTATGCCTCAGGGAAGGAGGTTTCGCCAGGGAGACACTTACAAGGACTCTGAAGACAGATGGGATCTGTTGCTGGAGCTTGCGCTCCTCCTGATGTCAGCATCTGAACACAAACAAAACGTGAGGGGAACAGAAAAGAAGGTAAATGACCGTGAAGTAAGCAATCATCCTATGCTACTGCCAGTGAGACACTCTGCAAGGGACTACTACGTGCTGTCTTCTACAGAGGATGGGAAGCAGGCTCACAGGTGGGAGTGAGGGTCAGTGACGCCTGAGGCATGACCTATGGTTCAGCGGTCACAGGCGACACCACCAGGAGAAGATTAGGCTGAGTCAGTGATACTACGCACAGCACCAAGGGTGACAGAGTGGTTATGGACTCACACAAACACATACTAAGGTCTGGTGGGAAAAGACTACAGAAAGAGATTAAGCTGAGGAAGGATCCTAACAGGGACAGTGTCATGCCACTGCCAGGTCAAAACAACAAGAAACAACTAAACCCAACCAAACTCTGTTCTGACATGGCCTTGCCCCATCACTATTCTGGTACTGCCCCAATGAATGCTGAAATGTCTCATAATGGCCACAGGGGGAGAGACCTCTGAACTTTGGGGAGGGAGGGGGAAGGTCCTCAAAGATGAAAGGCTTAGGGGCAGCTAAGCGGCACAGTGGATAGAGCACCGGACCTGAAGTCAGGAGGATCTGAGTTCAAATCCGGCTTCAGACACTTGACACTTCCTAGCTGTGCGACCCTGGGCAAGTCACTTAACCCTACTGCCTCACCAAAAAGGAAAAAAAAAAAGGCTTAGCCAAAAAGACTTCATCGTCCCACGAAATAGGGAGCATAGACATTTCTCTACGGTTCAGTAAATCCCCAAAGAAAAAACTGAGTATCTCCCGGAAGGAGATAAACTAAATAACTGTATGTACTCCTTCTTAGAGCTCTTAGGGTTAAGTTAGTGAGAAGCCAGTAAGCTTTTTTTACCCTCTTATCAAGATTTTTGGGAGTTAAGTTTCTAGTACTATCAACCACCACCTATAATTACTTGAGATCCGGAGGAGAGGAGAAGAGGACCAAGCAAAGACTGCTTAGGTAGGCTGCCCAGCAGCCCCTGACTAGTCAGGAGGACCCCAGTGCTCTCACCATTCTTGTTCACTCCCTCAAAAGGCGGCTCAAAATTTACCATCCCTGATGAACTTCATCTCAAACTCTGACTACTCCCCTATTCTCTATTCCCTTAGCACTAAAGGAACTTTATGGATTTTATGCTTAATAATATGGCGCCTAAATGTTTGTGTGTGTGTGTGCATGCAGCCTTGTTCAAGTGAGGGATCTCTGGCAAGAGATTCAAAGGCAGATGGACTTTGGAAAACACGTCCTTCACTTATGTGAGCAGGATCATTTTTAATCAAGAAATTTCCTGGCAAATTCACAGGATCTGAGAATTTTAAGTAGGAAAAGGCCTTAAGAGATGATCTAGTCTGATCTTGATATTTTACAGTAATAAATGTGAAGCTCAGACAGTCAACTGTCTTGCCTAAGGTCAAACAGGCAATTAAGAAACAGAGCTGGGGCTCAAATTCTAGCCCTTTGAGCCCAAACCAGTGCTTTTCCCCTGCATGTGAAACTGAATGAAGCCCACACAATCTCTCATACCACAGAGAGTTGGCTGAGCTTTAAAGTTCTTAGGTCTCCACGGTATAAGAAAGGAAGGGAGGTAAGGTGGTGTGTGTCCCAGAAATGGAAGAGGCTGCTATATTTAAAAGAGAAAAAGAAAACCCTCAGGTAACTAGTTCTCTTCAAGGTAAGCAGAAAATGTGACAGGATAAGTAGGAAAGGCACCCGAAATTTCAAAGGTCTTCAGTCATAATATGTTACATCTGTCAAACTTTGATGACTCATTGTGAGAGCTCAAAAAACCCATTGTGGAAGGTTGTGATTCCTCCAGGACAAAGATCCGGGTCCAGCATTCAAGTCCCTCCATAATTTGGTCCAGATCTCCATTTTTATCATGTCTAAGAGATGGAAATTACATCATAAAACACAAGTTCTGATGCTTCCCAGGCAACGAAAGTCAAGACTTGGGGATATCCATTTCCATCTCCTCCAAACCTTGTAGCTTTTTTCTGCCAAGTCAAATGGAATAAAGAAGAAAACCAAACAGAAGTCACAACTGCATCTACGTTCACAGAAGATAACTCCAGAAAACAGACCACAACAGTTAGCTTGGAAGAAGAGATACTCTTGTTATGTAGCTGAGTTGGGAGACCTTGAGCAGGTTTAAAAAAAAAAAGAAAGAAAGAAAAAGTAAGGGTGGGGGGAGGAGAAGTCCTCAAGCATTTAGGATTTTAATCCTACAAGAAATTATATCTTTAGAAAGAAATTTCATTACTGAATAGTAAAGGGAACAAATGGAGCTAAGAGGGGATGCAAGGATGTCAGAAGAAACATGGTAAAAGCATCTTGGCTGAACAGAAGTGTCACAAAGGCCAAATAAGGCCCAGTTCCTCATTAGACCCAACAGCCTAAACAAAGTAAAGAGACCACGGCTATAATGGAAAAGTCTGACCGTTGAGGAAAGATTTTGAAGCTAAAATGGCTTGAGGACTGTTAGATCTAGGGTAAGTTAGTTCTATTCTACTACTCAAGAAAGATTAGATTAATTAATGATAGATAACAGTTAAGGATGAATGTGAAAGCTACCTAAACTCCTGCATTTCTATACTGCTTCTAACTGCATATACTAATTTATATAAAAGTAATTAGTAATATTATTTAATATGTATACTTAGCTATTTAATAAAACATTTTGCTTTTAATTATAAGTACGGAAGAATGTGTTCTACCTTTAAGTGGTTAGCTCCTGCAAAGAACTAGTGGTTTGGCTCGCGAGGCTTCACTGTCTACCTGGTAAGAGCCAATCCTGAGTACAGGCTCTTGAATTCAGACTCTACAAACTTCCTTTAATAATAATCTTTCTACCTAGTGACTAAATTATAAATCTGACTACTCATCCCCAATTGACCTCCCATATTCACCATTTATTTTGGAATTTTCAGAGGAAGAAAGAATCAGAGAACCATAAGATAAGTGGTGGGGACTGTGTAAGGCAGGGAGTTCAAAAGGCTCATTCTACATATATGGCTTCTATTTTCAGGTTTCTACCTAGTTCCCCCAAGAAGCCTTGTCATTCTCTAACATTGAGCTACATGAATCATAGGGCACACACACGTGCTAGAGACATACGTAAACACACACAGAGAACACTCTTCACACAGGCTACCTGAAAACAATGAAGCCATGGACACTGACAGTCCGTTCTTTGACGAGTGAATCAGGTTAGACCCATCATTACCATCTGTGTAACAACGGTAACAAAACGGTGCACTTCAGTGCTCAGGTCACAGGAAGGAGAAGTAACAGGGCAGGGACAAGACTGGAGCCCATTACCTCCTTCTGGGTGTCAGGATTTAACCCTTCACTTTTACATCCCCAAATCAAACTCTGGCCTTCCTTGGGAGACTGAGGTCAAGTCCAGAAAGCAGGTACCCACCAGAGCTCAAAGGACATTTTTACTCCACCTCTCCAAACCCATCTGCAGGCATGCTCCCTGTGGCAAGGTAACAACCATAGCCCCAGCTGGTCCACAAATGCTTGCTCTATTTCTTGCCAGTTGAAAAAACTGAACCTGACAAGTAACAGCCCCTGGGCAACCGCACCAGGTCACTCCAGGGTTCTTAAGTAAGTTTCCCTTCAAGTTGGACATCTATCTTTCTATAATAGAAGCTTTGGTGTTAGCAGGTAGGTTCAGGGTCATAAAGCTACATTCATCTCTGCACAGTGGGAGAAAATACAATGTCAGAAAGTCACCTTTGGTGAAAATTTCACTTCTTAGCAATGACAGCTCATTAAACTTAAATGGCTCAGAAAATTTCTCCATCCTAGTTTCACGGGCTTAAAGGAAACATGGGAGGATCTCTAAGTGTCTCTCATGAAAAGAACTAAGAAGTGGCTGGTATACTCCTAGATATAGTAACTTCCAAGTTATCTAGGTATTTTGAGCAATAAGCCAACTTATTAATAAGTCAAATGGAGTAGAGATCCAGTTACTACATCTGGAAATCTGCATAAGCAAACAAGTTCCCCAGACTGATATGAATAAAAACCCAGAATCTCTGAGAATGATAGGTCTACTCCAGCAAGCAAGCAACTGTTAATAAGTATAGACACAGCTAGTTTCCTACAAGGGAATGTGTTTCATTTTAAAGTAAGTGCCTACCTAGGGTAGGTTCCTGAGGCTGCAATCCAAGGTCGAAGGAAGAAAACAACGGAAATTTGAGTGTAATAATGTGACATCTCTTACCTTGGATCTCAAATTCATCAACTTCATCAGTGGAGCCAGAGTCAGAAAGTCGTGCTGAATCACGTGAGCTGAATTGGGAACCACTGGAAGTGACCAGAAAGCCTGTTTTCAGGGTGAGAAAAAGTAGTTAACCAGACTGCCATGTGCCGTTATGACCCAGCAATCGAAGAAGGAAAAGAGGTAAGGCTGTGAGGCCCTAAGTGATAGGACACGGGAGGAACTCAAAAAGAGGCATCAAGGGAAACCCTAACAGGTAAACAGGATAAAACACGAAAGCATTTTCCTGGTTTGTCATCTCAGAACCCATCTTGTAAACAGAATATAAAGTCAGGTCTTGTAGCCTTGGCTTGCAAGAGGGTTGAGTTATCCCAGCATATTACAGAGCAGGAACAAAAAAATCACCCTTGGCAACACAGGAACCAACTTAGGACAAGAATAGTTCCTTTGATGAGAAACAGGCCAGACCTGTTAGGTCAAACCTAACATCCCGGGTCTGGTAGGAACGACGGGGATGAGATGATGGAGAAGCATGTCGTGTAGGAGCAGAACAGCCCCTGGTAGGAGTATGATGCTCCAAATGAACTCAGGAGATCCCTGATGGACTAGACCAAAGCAGGGCAGGGCAAGAAAAGGCAAGGGCAAGCTGGGACGGGCCCAGAGACTCACTTCCATGCTCTGTCTCCGGGTAGGCAGGGAGGAGGTTTTTGGTGCGGATCTGCTGCCGCCGAAGACGGATTTTCTGTTTCAGCTCCTGGATCTCCTTATCACTATCATCTTCTTCCTCATCCGGGTGCTGGTTCATCATATTACACTTCATTAGTTCAATGGCGGCAATCAGGGACTCTGAGATGCTAAAGTGGGCATTCTCCTAGGGCAGGGAAGGAACCAAAGGAAGTTTACTTGGGGAAGAGCCAGGGATATTAAAAGGTCCCCAGACGCTCACTGCTTTGGCTAATGCCACTCTGTAGAAGCTACCAGAGGACGAGCTGACCACTAGAAAATCTCTCTTCTAAGTTATCTCTGCCCTCATCGCTGGGCAACAATGCTCCACATCATCTGAAAGCAGCTCCTTTCTCTCTGATTCTATAAAGCCCCCCTCTTCCTGTACCATCTCCAGCAGAAACAAGAACAACAATAGCAGTGGCCCAAGGGCCCTTCCTTGTAATCTAGGGCCTCCACAGCAGTCTTTCCTATAGACATACACAAACAAGAGTGAATATTGTTGTTCTATGACTTGTATCAAAGCACTTAGGAAGGGAGTCTGGAAAGAGCATTTTTTTGGTGGGGGGGAGGCTAGGCAATGGGGTTAAATGACTTGCCCAGGGTCACACAGCTAATAAGTTTTATGTGTCTGAGGACGAATATGAACTCAGGTCCTCCTGAATCCAGGGCTGGTGCTCTATCCACTGTACCACCCAGCTGCCCCAAAAAAGCATTTTTAAGTGATGAATCAAGGGACCTGATGACACACCCAACTCTCCTCACTGTCTACTTTCTGGCAAAAGATCAGGGATGACTATTTAGATTCAGAGAGAAAGGCTCCTTGGAGTTGCCCAGAGACGGATCTGAGCTAGCTTCTGTTTGCGAGGGGTAAAACAGGGAGACTTGTGTGAGGACCACGGCCTCCAAAATTTTTTTCACCTCCTCTTTAGCCCCTGAGCCTCTTTACCTTCTCCAGGTCCGCACAGCTACCAAAATCCTGTTCAGACAAGTAACTGATGAGGGACTGTCCTTCTGAAGGCCTTCGGAACATGCCTTCCCCTGAACATAGGTACTGATTACCATCTGGGAAAGAACAATGGGAAAATGTGGTCAGCTTGGAATGGGGACACAAATCATTAGAGCCAGCTTGTCAAAGAATGAAGTATCTGGAATAGCACAGATGCTCCCAGCCTTCTCCAGACAACAGAACCAAGTTGGAGGGAACAAGTCTCTACCTCCCATGGGAGTATCTCTAAACCTAAGGAAGTCTAGTTCATGAAACTCTCGTTAGGAAAGTTTGGTGAGGTCACTGGAGACACTCAGCCCTCAGGGAGCACCACAGATAGAGCCTGATCAGTTCACTGCCCAGACCTGTGACAGACAGACCCCAACCCCTTACCCCAAATTTCTCTGCTAAGAATCAGAAAAAGATATGGTCCTACCCCTCCTGCCACTAGGGGTTCTCTAGTCACCTCACCAAGGCCTCCACAAGGGCATCTTCAAGGTCCCACTGACTCTGCAGGAGATCTCGGCCATCCCATCTGGACCATCAGATTGCAAGAAAAGGGCCAACAGAGGGAGAGGAGGGAAGTATCAAGGAGGAACAGCAGGAAAGGAAAGTAACAGAAAAGTGTGACTTATAGCACCAGAGTTAGGAATGGTGAAAGGGAAAGTTAGCCCATACAATACGTACTTTCTATAGAGCTGAGCTATTCCAGAGCACAGGGGGTTGGGCGCAAAAGCAGGGGGACGAAGATAAAAAAACAAGCAAGACACAGCCCATTGCTCCACCCAGCCTTGGCTTTCCTGACACCCCGCACACTCACTCACCATACTCCACGTCCAGAGAGCTGGGAATGCTGACTTCACTGTGTTGGCCAGATGAGGACACAGGAGCTTTCAACTTTGAGCTATCATTTCTGGATTCTGATATCAGCCAGCACACCAGGGGGCGAAGGAAGAACAGAAAAAAGGGGTGAACAGTGGAGAAATATGCCCTTTCAACTTTAGAATTTAAGCCTTTATGGTGTGCCCATCCCTACTTCTCTCGAAAAAAAGGGGAAATTGCATACTAACAGGGAACAGTCCAGGAAAATGTGGAAAGGAGAAATGAAGTCAAGTCAAGTGGTCTCCAACAGTAAGAACAGAAGGTAGCAAGAGTGGATAAGAATGTGAGAAACAAGCAAATCAACTACCCCACTGTCTTTTTTTTCCTTACCCAATGGTTTTTGTTTCTAGCGGATTTCTTGCTAAGGGCCAGGACCATTCACAAGATCATTCTTCTTACTAAGATGTTGGAAATGGGATACCTAGAGAGCCACTAAATTGTCTAAGTACACCCAAGGAGGTATATGATTGCCAGAAAAACCCCAATTTATTTCACCTGTCTTCCAATAAGGACTACACCCTTCATAACATCCTCAATTTAGGGCACATTTGCCTTCAGAAGCTATCTCTTTACTGCCAAAGGAAGGCAAACGTATTTAAATTTCCTACCTTTCCCGAATGGTACATTGCAAAGTTACAAAGAGGTCTGCACTGGCTGCTCAATTTTGTTTTATACAATTGGATCTGGACTGAAAATTTAACACGTGCAAATTAAACCTATTCCTGGACTGGGCTAAAGAAATCAAGCAGCCACCATACAGGCAATACCAAGTACTGAAGGGAAAAACAGGACAGCTATGACTGGAAATACCAAGTGAAAGAGACAGAACTGGCTGTACCCAGCCTTATCAGAACTGTGACAAAAGCTGGTCACTTGCTGTCTCGGCATAACACGGTTATGGGAAGCAAGCAGGACTGGATGCAAGAAAGGAGGTTCTAGTGTTCCACAGAGGTTGTCACGGGCAGCTCTCTGCCAGAACAGGAACAGAGTGGACCTTGAGGTTGTGAGGAATTGAGGGGATTAGGACAGCAAGTGGTTCACTGTGGGAACTGAGCAAACAACACTGACCCCATCTTGTGACTCAATTCTGGAGTTAGCTCAGTTCCCTTTCTATTCAATTATGTGTTTAGTTCAACTTCTGTCCTGTGAGAAAAATTTATTCAATTGGTGGGATTAGAAGAAAACCTTATTTTAATTGTCTATACCTATCCCTGGATGGCTGGGAATCCAGATCACCTCTGCCTGCTGCTTAGAGACCCTTACCTAAGGACCTCTGTTGTGCTGACCAGACACCCAGTCAGGTCCTAAGATTGATGCACAATTTTTCACAATGATATATCTTAAGCAACCCACATAACTTATCTGAAAACTGGTTCTGTACTGATCAATCAATTATTGTTTCCATGTTTCTTTAGTTAAATACAGATACTTTGTGAAGTGGGACACCTTTCCTGATTTCAGGGAACTACACCTGTTTAAGCTCCCTCTCCCAACTTGGAAAGTCCCTAAGCTTTTCTCCAATTAAAAATCGGATTACCTAATTTTGTACTCTGGTTAACTGTTTTCTTTTAATTAACTGGTCTTATTTAATTAATTGTTTTTAATGTATAAAAAAATCTCTTCCCCTGTATTTGGGGTCCAGTGCTAAAGCTGAGGAAGGCTATTGGTCCCAATTTGTCAGGCAATTGGCATGCATTGCTTAATAAATCAATATGCTCAGAAGCTCAAACCCTTGTTTCCTCAGTCCTTTCATCTTTCACCCACCACAGTTGCCAAGAGAAAAGGAGGGTGTTCCAGGCAGGTAAATAAGGGGTAAGTAAATAAGGGTAACCCAACTCTCCTCTTTGACAAAGAACACCAACTTGTCAGCTGCCCTACTTAGGGCTTGTTATCTTTCACACGGTCTGGTGAGGCCTTGGTGTACTGTTTCAACCTCGAGCTCTAAAAGGATCACACTGGTCAAGATGTGTGTGTCCCTGACTACCAGATACCAGAGTAAGGAAAGACGGCCAAGGCCAGTAGCGTGTAATAAAGACATGTTGCTGAGGTCAGTAATAATTAGTCGTGAGTCTGTTGTGCCCAGGCAGTCATGGAATGGAATGCCCAATGACCCAGAAATTACAGAATTTTCAGGCGGAAACCGATGTAGTGGAAAAAGTCCCTCTCCAGTATCGTTGGCAGATGGTAATTTTTACTATTTGGGCAACAGGGAACCTCACTACTAGTACTCCATTCCATAACTGAATAAACTGTTAAGAATTAACAGTTTTTCTTCTAGATTGAGCTAAAAATCTGCCTTCTTGGAATTTCCATCCTTAATAATCTAATCCTGTGGATTTCCATCCACAGAACAAGGGGAATGCCTTCTCTAGAAATATTGAAAACTTCACTGCTGAAGACAACTATCATATCTACACCTAGTCTCTTTCTTCCCAGGCTAGGTATACCCATTTTTTTCAACCATTCTTTTTCAGGACATGGTTTTCTGAATTCTTTCCACCCGTTTTGCCAGTGCCTCCCTTTAAAATGTAGCATCTAAACTTAAATAGAAGCCACTGGACACAATTCTAATGTTTGCTCAACAACCACAATAGAGACCACATGAACAAGACTTATTTCACTGAGAAAATCCTAAGCAGTGGCTGAAATGGAAAACAAACAAACAAACAACTCCATAAACTGGACAACGAGGGAAAATGGATAAAAGGGCAAAAAGAAGTGAGGACGGTAAAGAACATGCAGCACCTGCTTCTGGGTCATAGGAAGGAATATTCAAACTGGTGTTAACTCAAGAGAAGCAGCGTGGTTTGGTGTTAGCCCCGAGAAATTGTGCCACCCAACCCATTGTAAAGTCTTATATCTTTCAATTTCAATGGGAAAAATCATGTGGATAATTTTTGACTTCTCCTAGAGGCTGCCAAAAGAAGGAACCATTTCACTTCAGCAGAGATGCCTTAATGGTCAGTCAGGCCAATTTTGGTGGCAAGCCTCCTGGTTGCCCTGACTTCCCTCAAGTCTCAGCTCCAAGCCAACCTTATGCAGGTGGTCTTTCCTTACCCCCCCGAGGCTGCCTATTTTGTATGTATGTAGTTGTTTGCACGGTGTCTACCCGCCATTAGGTAGTGTGGACTCTCTGAAGGCAGGGAATGTGTTTTTTGCCTTTCTGTGTATCCCCAGCGCTTAGGCCCGGTGCCTGAAAATGCTTAATAACAGAAGAGAAGGGCAAAGATGCCTCCAAACTAACCAGACTTGATTTAACACCAGAATGTGAAGGGAGGCTCTGAGTCAAGCCAAAGAAATGGTTGCAGGTGAGGAGATGGAAGAGAACAGGACTGGTTCCCAAACCTGCAACAGGATCTTCAACTATAATGGTGATATTCCTGAGGCCTTCTGTAGGTGGAGAGAAAGGGAGGCAGAAAGAATACAGAGACAACAGTGAGAGTGAGTGAGTGAGAGAGAGTGACAGAGTGACAGAGAGAGAGAGAGAGAGAGAGAGAGAGAGAGAGAGAGAGAGAGAGAGAGAGCGAGAGCCTTTTACTTACCACATACCATCTTTCACCATCTCAGGGGAATATCTTACCCTGCTGATGAAGCCCTCCATGGTTCCCATTTCTAATACTGTTTCTGGAATTTTGGGTTTCCCTCTGCATAGATTCAGGAATAAAGGGCAGAGGAAAGTTTATGGCCACAGGCCAGTAAGCAAGAGCAGGGAAGGTACCAGGGTCTAGCAAAAATTCTGGAACAGAGGACCCAGCCCAGCTATTCCTGGGGCTGTCATCAGGCTAATCAGGACAAAGACTTTGTTTTCAGAGTTTTTCTTAGAATCTCCAGATCAGCCAAATTAACAACATGGTCAAAGGAATCATTGTGTACATGGACAGCTGAAGATGAAGTCCCCATCTCCTAATCTCCAAGAAACAAACCTTTAGCATCTGTAGGAATATCAACAGAAACCAAAGATGGCCCCAGCTGTTGGCCAGGGCTCTTCTCCTGTCCTTTCTTTTCTAAATGGGGACCTTCCCCACCCAAGGCTGCTTTCAAGCATAAAAGGTTCACGTCAGCTTTTTGAGTTTGTGAGAATGCCATTGCAACGGAAACCCACTAGAGGGCTGCTAGACATCCAAACAGCCTAGGGAAGATGATGATGGGGCAAATGGCAAACCCCATTTCCCTGGTGCTAAACTAGCCTGAGCAAAAGAAATACTGGAAGTAGGAATTTACTGAAATTGTTCTTGAAGTTCATGGATGTAGTTTCTCTGATTTTAAGAGGCTGAGGGACTTAAAATTCTAAGGGAATCCCTTTAGCCCTAATAGCTATGGGCCCTAGCTTCTATTAGTGCTTGAGATCAAGGAAAGAGAACCCAGGAAAGGCTTTTTAATCCATTTTGAATCAATCCATTCAGAAACAATGATAAAGGAATAGAATAATAATTTTCAAAGCCCCACAGAATCAGGTAGGCTGGAAAACCTTCTTTTCCCCAGATTATATTTACAAGACCATCAGCAATAGTGAACTTCCTTTGTCAGCTAGAGATTCCTGGCTGCAACCTATCCCTACATCAATTCAACAAGACTGAGAGTCCTGAATTAACCATTCATTACCTTGGACTTTCCTAGAAGCTATGTTGGTATCAGAATGTGAACGGGTGTGACTCTTCTTGGCTCCACCAGAAACGGCCAATGTCTGGCCCTCCGAAAAACTGGACCTACGAAGGACCCCAGGCACTTGGCTCTGACCAACTTCCTCTTGCTCCCCTACAGAGGAAGCAGGAGAATTGGCTTTCTGGGAGCTGCTGGAAGAGAATAAGTTAGAACTGCTACTCTTGGTGTTGCTGCTGCCGTTACTCTGACAGCTGGAAGCTCGGGTTCGACTACTCAAGTTGCCAATGGCTAAATACTCAGGCCCATCATTGGCATCACTTTGGGGGTCGTCCTGGCTGCTGGTCCACGGCTCTTCACTGGGGCTGGTCAGGGCACTAGAGCTCATGTCGTTTGGGGAGGGTGGTGAATCCCTGGCCAATGCTGAGACTACAGAAGGTAAGGAGCCCTGGAAGGACTGGTCCCCTCTCAGTGCAATAGGCTCTTTGCTTTCTTGAGGTTTCCGTGGAGGGCCAGAGAGGGAGAAGGAAGTGGGTCTTTTGTCTAGGATACAAAGAAAAGGAGCAGAGGGTAATTTGGTATCACACAGTAGTTATAAAGAATGCTCATACAACCAAAGGAACCAGACAATCCACTTATATTTATATAAGATGTAGTATATGCTCAATCCTATGCTAAATATGAAAGCTAAGGAAGTAGAGCACAGTAAACCTATTGAGCCGGAACAGACCACAAAGGTCATCTAGTCTAACCCCTCATTTTATAGGGGAATCAGAAGCCCAGAATGGTTAAGTGATTTGCCCAATGCCACATACCTCCTAAGTGGCAGAATCAGCATTCACTGATCCTGACTCTGAGTACAGAGCTTTTTCCACTACACCATGGAAAAGAGAAGCTTCATGGAATGAAAATCATTTTTTAAAAATCCTTCTTGGGCATGTGAGTAATAAAGCCAGGAAAAATTTAAAAGATATTTCTCTTTTCACTATTTTTCTCTATCCTACTTATCCTGGGCTGCTCTGCAAGATTAAGTTCATGTATAAAGTTTAAGGAGCTTTAAATACTCTAATCACAAGTTATACACACACAGAGAGTATATTTTACACCCACCAGAACAGGGGCAAGCATGAGATCCCTGGTCCCCCTGCCTCCTCACCTGTGATGGGTATGGGGGTAGATTGGTAAGGGCCAGAGAAGGAGCCAAAGTAACAATGCTGGGTATACTTGGAAGGAGGGGTGTTGGAGGAGCCAGGCAGTGCCGTCAGACTCTGGCTTTTGGTCATTAGCAGCGGGGTCTCATGCTTCCTGGCAAACTGAAAGGAAACAAGGTTGAAGCCAAAGACATTGCTCCTGAAGGAAGAGTTCTGCATAAGACCCAGCACCTCCAGGGTTCCCTAAAGAAAGCTGGCTTCTGGCTTCAGGATTCCATTGCAGCCTGAACTTGTCATCAAACAATGCAGCACAACCTCTCCTCCAATTAGCAGTGGCTGACCTCAGCTGCCAGAATGTTTCTAACTGGTCAGCTCAGGAGCAGCTGACCAAGTAGGAGGGCCAGAAGGCCCTGATTAACAAGAGCCAACCTAATGTTCTCAATACTTGAAGGGTAAAACTGATCATGTGTAACAGTAGGTCACGCAATGAATTTAGAGCTGGGGTGCAGAACCTGTGGCCTCAAGTGCAGCCCTTTGATTGAATCTAAACTTCACAGAACAAATCCCCTTAATAAAAGGATCTGTTCTGTAAAACTTGGACTCAGTCAAAAGGCTGTACCCAGGGACCTAGAAGGCCACATGTGGTCTCAAGGCCGCAGGCTCCCCACCCCTGATTTAGGGGAACCAGTGCAGACCCTGTAACCCACATCTTTCATTCTTACTATAGATGTATTACCCATTCCACCTAAACGTTAGTAGCGCCTCTTCCCTGGGGAAGGGCCTGTTCAGACAGGAGACCTTTGCAGTGTTTCTTCTTAAATGGAAATATATCCTTCAAAATAGAAAGCAGACCCCAAACTAATCCCATCTCCAGATTCTTCACCCCTCAGGCCCACCTGATGACATTTCTACTTTCCAAAAACAGAGTGGGGGGGAGAGAAATGGGGTTTTACCCTTCCACTCCAGCTCCTGAACCCCTAAATGAAAGCAGGCTGCAACAGGACGAGGTGTCTAACACCTCCTTGCCCTCCTTACCATGGAAGCATCTATCTGAGCCAGGAGCCGAGGGTTGTTCTGCTCCACTGCCTCCAGGCACTGCAGCATGGCTGTGACGTGAGCGCTGCTCAGCAGGAATGCAGCATCTACAAAGAGAAAGACAACCCAGGAGAAGCTTCAGGAACCATCCGTGGCCTCCCCAATTGATTTATGAGCAGCAACTTGATGGAGAAGAGTGCAGGGCAAGAAGCCACTCTCTAGCCAGGAAAAGACTAGGGAGTATGGGCCTTGAAGGAACAAAGATAATCAGATGCATAAAAGGCCGGCAATCAGAGGCATGTAAGAGAGTGTGTGCGAGCGAGAGCAAGAGAGAGAGCAAGACAGAGAGCGAGCGAGAGAGAGAGCAAGAGAGAGAGACAGAGTAAAAGAGAGAAAATGAGAGAGCAGGAGAGAGAGCGAGAGAGAGCACGAGAGTGAGAGAGAGAGAGCACGAGAGTGAGAGAGAGAGAGAGAGAGAGAGAGAGAGAGAGAGAGAGAGAGAGAGAGAGCGCACGCAAGAGAGCGAGGCGGGGAGGGCATCACAAGGGTAAAACACTGGCCCTATTATATAAGATGGAGGGGCAAGGAAAGGAGGGAGAGCTGGCAACACTGCTCCGCCAAGAAATGTTCTGTTACCTGACATGGAGATAGGGGAACCACTGTCCTGGAAATTACAAAGAGCGCTTGGCAAGGCCCAGTGTGGAGCTGAGGAAGGAAAGGCTCCCAGGCTCTGCCTACCTGTGTAGAATTTCCTGATGTACTCTCTGTCTCCCAGCAAGGGCCGCAGCTGAGCAGACAGGCAGTGGAACTGCAAACTGTGCTGCAGCCACAGCTCTGCGATGGCCTGGTCCCTCACGCCGTCCGGGCTCCGCTGGCCATTCTCATACAAGCTGATGAACTGTGAGACAGAGAGCAGGCATGTGCATGCATTAGGACTGAAAGCCTCATCTATCATCATGGAAAGTCTAAGAACCGTCAGAACCTTCAGAGCTGAACTGAGGGAGAAAGGACATGCCCTCAAAAGTCCTTGGGGCAATGAACAGGGGAGGGAGGGAAGAGGACCTCTAAGGGTACCTGCAGCTCTACCATTTTTTGTTTGTAATTTCAATGGCACAGGGATCTCCTAATGAGGAAGCCCTCCTACCAGCAGACAGCTGTCACCTGCTTTGCAATTTCTAGTCTCAAGACTTGCCTGGGAGCGCTCAGAGGTTAAGTAACTTGTCCAGGACTGCACAGCCAGAATATATCAGAGGTAAGACCTGATTCTTCTTGATTCTGAGATCAGCTCTGTCTCCACTGTGCCTCTCTTCTTGCACCTAACAGGTGCTTAATAAAACGTCTATTGATTTGCATTGATTGACTGGCCAATGCCACGGATCTGGGAGTGACAGCCAACAACAGATCCCAAAGAAATCTTTGGCTGGATTTAAGGCTTTGGTGAGTGGGGCAGGGAGGAACATCTCAGACAAATGACAGATTACAATCAACAGAAACTACCAGGGAGGGAAGAAGCAGTTAAGGCCAGATAAACGGCTCCAGAAGAGGAAAAAGTTCATGACGTACCGACACACTTCAGAGATATTCCCCCATCCTATCTTGCCCCTAAAGAAAGTCTAAGTCAGTGGACTAACTCATGTGGTCAGCATTGCTAGATAGTCCCTGCAGAAAAAATACCCTCCAGCAGGATGTTTCAGAAACACTGGAGGAAACAGATAAAGGAATTCCAGACAAGAGCACCAGGTTAACTCTGGCTTCTCCTCTTTGAGAGAACTAGGGACACATTTTAACCTCAGTCCAAGGAAACTCTTAGGGATTTCACCTTCTCTGCCATTATTCTACCACCACAATCAGCAGCTTATGCCAAAAACAGGCAGGAGGAGGAAGGCAATGGCACAGTCACAGCCCGATGTGTGGCTCACTTGGTACCAGGCAAAGGGAGTTTCTGGAAACCTGCTATTTCCTCTTTTCCTGGTGCTACTTTCCCTTAAACAGTTAACAAAATTATACTCTAATGCTTTTCCTGTCCCTTCCTTCTTGATGTTGTTTCAGACACAACCTGTTGCCAGCAGCCCTGGATTCTGCAATCCCTCACTGCTCTCTTCCATGCACAAACTCTGTTTTAACAAGTCAGAGGCATTCCTTAGGTCACAGGATCACAGCTTTCAAGCTAAATGGGAACCTCAGAGATCATTTAATCCCACTCCTCACTTAAGAGAAAAGGAAACTTCTCCCCCTTTTCCATGGCTCTCTGTAACAATCCATAAATGACTGGGTTTGAATGGCTCAAAGGACCACAGGTTTAGAGCTGTCAGGAAACCTGGAGGTCACATACGTCAAACCTTTCACTTCTACTGCTCAAAACAAAAGAGACACTCTCCCCCCCTCTCCCACCTAGCCCAGTTCCTCTCTAGGAAATAGGACAGTCTTACCGTACTTAGTTAATAAGAACTCTCTGCCCCCAACACACATCCTCCATACATACACACACACTCATTCACTCCACTGCTCAGGCCAAAGAATTAGTAGGCACTTGAATGATAATATTTTACCTGCAGTATGCTCAAATATCTCCCTCAAATCCACATCTTACCTTCTCTACGTGAAGGGCCGAGTGAGGGCTGAGCCACCGAATGTCCTTCACAAACTGCCAGTAATCGTTCTGTTGGCAGCAGACCTGTCCGGGGAACACACACAGTGAGATACCATCTTGGCTGCATGCCAGCTGCGGTGCTGATGTACCAGGACAGAACAAGAGGTATAACCTTCGTTTATTTCACCAGGACACCTTACATCATACCTCAGGTGCACAGATGCCTGCTGGCTTCTAAAAGGTCATTCTCAGAGGTGGTGGTCAGCACCGGACTGAAAGCCAAAGAGTGATGGGTTCAACTGGTCCCCACTACAAATCCAAGCCACCAAGGACAGAACCAGGTTTTCCCTTGTCACCTTGGGTCTGGGAAGACTGCTTTTATGGATGAGCAGTCCAAGACTTAACAGTCTTGCGATGGGAAAGACCTCAAAATATATTGACACTGGTCTCTTCTGCCTACTTGGCAGGATGCAGCAAAGCAGCAGGGAATCACACCCAAGTACAATCATATTCCTGGCATTTGTCCCAAGCCAGAAGCGGCACAGGCAAAGACCTGCCCTGGGAATTTGTTCCCTTCCCTACACTGCTACCAGATGACCTTGAACTAATAACTTGGCTCCTCTGTGCTCTGGCTTCTTCTTTTAAGGAAGAGGAAAAATTTAGGTTAGGAAATCCTGTTCATTCTGTCTTGACTAATTCCTTCTGGTACCCCTGCCCCAGGATACTTCCTGTCTATGTTACTGAGGAAGGTTTCTTTCTTTGGAAGAAGGGAAAGGAAAAGAGGGAAAGAAGGGAGTGAGGGCCCCAGGAATGACCTTGAGGCCACAGCTTTCCTTAAACTCTTAGTGTTTCTCCCAAAAGACCCCTTTCTCTACTTGAGAGCACTATGGAAGTCCAAGTAAGATGTACCACTGTTTCCCTTCCCTCTCCTTCCTAAAAGCCTGATGCCCAGAATAGTTTTCTGATGATACGGCAACTTGAAGAAGTTTGAAACTCTTGGTCTTTAGTGAGGAAATGAAAAGAGGAAACAAAATTCTTGACAGAGAACTTGCAAAGGAATATAGAGCAGCAATGAGCTGGCCTACATCTTTGACAAGTTTCCCTTCTTGGACTGTATTTATTATGTTTTGTATCTGGAGATGAAGGGTGAGATAGTTTTGCTCAGTTTATAGTTAGCACTGATTTTAGGAATTTCTTTTTACATAAAATGATATCTATTGCTCAATGTGTAGACAAAGTGACTTCAAAAGTATTATTAACAAGAACAAAAAGCAATGCTAAGGTTTTACATTAACCGTCATTTTCACTGGATATTTTCATACATAGTACTTTATTAATAAATATAAACCCCATGGGCATGTCTTCTCCCTGTGGTGAAACAGGAGGTAGAGAGAGGAGAAAGGGCCTTCTTTTGGGTGTCCACTGCAGTTGTGCAACTCATTCAATGTGGGGCCTCTCACAGACTTGCCAGGTATTTCAATTATTTCCTTCAGAAACACCCACATTGCTTTTATTAGATTGGAATGACAGTGAGCCAGCAGCTGGCCTCTGGGCTGGTGAGATCACTTGTCTGGTCCAGCTATTCATTAGTCCCTATTACAGCAGGATGAACAAATTCCTTCATATGAACATCCCGGACTACACTTTCTTGGTTTTTTAGGTTTAGTCTCATTATTCTGTTGAACCCAGATGCGCCTACTCCACGTTGTTCATCCCACCTGCCACGGAGCCTCCTCTGTAGCAATTTCTTGAACTTCATATGCTCCGCTTCCAAATAGCATGACAAACATGATTACTTCCACCACAGACTCAAGGATCATGGGATTTTTAGATAGGGATCAAACATATACTAAGTCCAAACCCTTATTTTACAGATAAAGAAACTGCAACTCGGAGAGGTCAACTGTCATGACAAAGGTCACACAAATAATAAATGAGTCAAGAATGAAACCTAAATCTTCATTTTCCAGGCCCAGTGCTTCTTCCATTCCTCCCATCTCTTCCAGGAAGCCTCCCTAGAGATCTGAGAAGAACTGATTGCTTCTCCCTGACCAAACCAGACATGCAATTTCCATGGAAATGGTCTTATTTTTTTTTTATCCCCACTCAGTGATGTCCCTGGCATCTTTGTTAAAGATGTCATTAACAGTCTTTCAATTCCCAGACAGAATGTGTCTATAGGCATAGTATACCACATTTACTTATTTTAAAATAATCTTTAAATCAGGGCAAGTCATTAAAATACACCTAAAGCAAATAATTTTCTAAAATGAAATTATTTTATAATGTGAATTATCCTCTAATCTTAGTGCTATGTGAATTCCAGATTTCATTAAAAATAATTTCTCAAAGTTTTCTATATAGTGCTATGTGGAGAAATCCAGACTTTGAAGATGATAAAGGTGAAAAATTGATATCTTTGGCAAGCGTGCAAAGATAAAAATCCTCCTGAGTAATTGATATAAGATTTATTTTTTCTAGCTTCAAAATAAGCCTGAAACAGAAGAGACAAAACCCTTTATTAACCCAGCATCTTCCCTCTGTTGATCATCTCCAATTTATCTTGTTTATACTTATTGTCCATAGCTGCTAGTGTGTGGTTTCCCTCATTAGACCATAATCTCCTTTTTCCATTTTTTTTTGGGGGGGGAAATTGGGGATAAGTGACTTGCCCAGGGTCACACAGCTAGTAAGTGTCAAGTGTTTGGTCTGAGGCCGGGATTTGAGCTCAGATCCTCCTGAATCCAGGGCTGGTGCTCTATCCACTGCACCACCTAGCTGCCCCTAGACCGTGATCTCCTTGAAGAAAGGACTTTCTTAGCGTCCTTGTGTCTCCAGTACTTTAGCACAGTGCCTGACACATACTGGGTGCCAGTCAGTAATATTTACTGACTGATAAACATAAGGTTAATCTAATCTAAAGCAACTCTCAAACCAGTAGTGGTTCAATAACTATTGGTCTCAGGACCTCTTTACATTTTAAAAAATTACTAAGGACCCTGAAGAGGTTTCACTGCTATCTACTGATCTATAGGGCAAGTAGGTGGCACAGTGGATAGAGCATAGGGCTTGAAATGAGGAAGACTCATCTTCATGATTTCAAATCCAGCCTCAGACACTTACTAGCTGTGTGACCCTAGACAAGTCATTAACCCCTGTCTGTCTCAGTATCTCAACTGTAAAATGAGCTAGAGAAGATAATGGCAAACCACTCCAGATTTGATCTATTGGTCAATCTATTGACATTGACCACATCAGAAATTAAAATCAATAAAAATAAGATATTTTCATGAAAAATAACTATATTTTTTAAAAAGTGAGAATGGCACTATTTTGCACATTTTTGCAGATTTCTTTAATGTCTAGCAAGCTAGAAAACACTGAAGACAGCTAGAGTTCCATATCTTCTTCTGCATTCAATCTATTGTAATAAATATGTTGTTTTAGTTGAAGTTTATGAAGAAAATCTGCCGCCGCACAGATATGCAGATGGAAAAAGGAAGAATATTTTAATAAGCAAATAAGGTCATAATATTAATATGAAAATAGTTTTGAGCTCATTGACCCTCTGAAACGGTCCCCAGAGCATACTTTGAGAACTGCTGCCTTCGCCTAAACTCTGTATTATTAAAATCCTGTGACACTCTGCTTATGAATTATAGTTTTTAGACCTCTTCTTTCCAGAGGCATCTTACTATGTACTGTTCTCATTGTAAATCAACTACCAAACTTCTAGATCCAATTCTGAGAGTAATGCTTTTAAAATAGGGCTTTAAATCCAAAAGGAAGGGGAACTGGCTATCATGTCACTACTTGGAGAAGAAAGGCAAAGGAGATGAAATGGGGAAGGTGACACTGACTTCACTGAGGGAGTCTGAATCAGACTTTTTGGTGCTACACTACTGACTCTCAACAGTGAAACACAGATTCTGGAATCAAAAGACCGGGGTCAAATCCCAACTCTGGCTCTATCACTCATTGTGTGACCTTGGACAAGTCGCTTAATCTCCATGGGCCTCAGTTTCCTTACCTGCAAAATGAATGCACTGGACTAGATCATTTCTGAAGCCTGGATTTTCCAGACCTGTACCTATGGTGTGTGGTCTAGTGCCTCCTGTTCCTAAGGAGGATCTGTCCTAAATAAAATTGTGAAGTGAAAGGCAGTGTGGTATATCCTAGATTTCATGACAATCTCAGCAATCACTTTTAGCATTTCCCATGAGGTAGTTTATAGAGAGAGATTATAGCATCTAAGGAAGCTATCTGATTCAGGAACAGCACAGAAATGAACAAAATCTCAAGAACTCCTAAGCTTGCCTCTATTTGCCTATCTGTGAAGTTAGGAGATAAATATTCTGCTTTCATGTGATGGTGCTGAGAAGTTAACAAACACAGCACTTAGGCTAACTGTAGTAATATGTTCTGAGGGGGACACACAAAGCACTTCGATTTCTTTGCTCTCTACCCCTAAATATTTCACTTATTAACTGAAACTGTTCTCTGAAATTCAACCCTTAGAAATCCACCCATCTGTTTCCAAAGCTCTGCTACCAATTAAAATACAAAGAACCCTGGAAATTAAGAGACTTAAATGCAAATTATTTCATCAGATATTTTAAAAAATGATAATTAAGAACAGGTTTTAATACAGAAAAGTACAGGCCTCGTTGGGCCTCTCTGGTGGCAATATAAAGCCACAAGGTTCTAGAGCCAATATAAGGTCCATGGGCCACTTGCAGTTCACCAAAGTGCCCTGCAGGCCTGTTTTACATCATCTACATTTTCCGCAGGCCACCTGAAATCCTTTGGCAGGCCGTATGTTGTGCAGGCCTGTTTTACAGTGAAGTTGGAGGCTGGGAGAGAGGAGGGGAAAGAAGAATACGAAGAAATGCAAGGACATCAAAGACAACTTCCAATTTCTTAGAGAGGTATTGGGGGTATGTGTGTAGGGGGGAGAAACTGGGTGTGCTCAGATCTGGACTTGGGATTTCATGATGGGATTTCCCAGAGATGAAAGTGAGGATGTTCTCTCTCTACCACTAGAAATTTATACCTACTCTACAATTTCAAAGTCTTTCAGAGTTGTCTGGGCTCTGAGAGATTCAGTGGTTTGAACACAGGTCTTCCTGACAGATTTCTAATCACTTCATCTTGGGACCTTTCACTTACTTCACAAATTTTACCTAGGAATGGTCCCCCTAAGAAGCTTGGCTTATTGCCAAGAATGGTAGAGAAGCCATTATGTATTATCTAACTTCAAAATTTGAGATGTGAATAAAAGAAAATGAACCCAATGACAGTTTATCCTTAGGGGAAAAAAAAGTGGAACTGAAACTTTTCTCCAAGTATCAGTTGAAAATTGATAAAGCAATAGAGAAAAATTCCTTGGAAAGTTAAAATGTATTGTAACTATGCCAAAGGGCCCAATAACGTCTCTAAGAACTCTCCTAGGCTGGTCTCCAGAGCAACTGGTTGACATCAAGAGCTAAGAATGTTAATTCTTCCCACTATGTCCCTCTGCTATGAAAATGCATTTTCAGTCTGTACTCTGGTTGCCTTGTCAAGGGAAATGCCAACAGTTCACATGGCTAATTTTTCCCTTTTCTAACTTTAAGACAATGATTTAGGGAAGAAACTCAAGATTCTAATTCACTAAGAGTCAAGGAGACTTTCGTTCTGATTCTTCTTTCATAACTAATGTAGAAATATGATTAATATGATTGTACATGTATAGCCTATATCAGATTACTTACTGTCTTAGGGAAGGGGGAGGGAAAGAAAAGAGGGATAAAAATTTGGAACTCAAAATCTTATAAAAGTAAATGTTGACAACTATCTTTACATGTAACTGGAAAAAAATACTATTAAGTGTCGGGGAGCGGGGGGAAGAGTCAAGGAGAGAATCTAGTATTCTGAGATAAGAAGGTACTCTCAAATAACATTTAAATCAGCTCATCATTCAGTTCAGTTAGACTGGTTCCACAGCAAAAAAGGGTAAATTTCCCCAAATTAGATACAACCATAGCCTAAGAGTAATCAAGACTCTGTCAAAGTCAAGGGCCAATTCTACCATATTTTTGTCTTGTATTTCCATTGTAGCAACCTCATTGCTATGTGTTTTTTAAGCAAAAAAAAAAAAAGCACCATAGCTTTGAACTGAAGGCCCTCTTAAACATAATTAACTAACTTCCTGGTACCTAGATTCATTGACCTACTTGGCCATTTTCTCTATATATACTACCCAACTCACCTGTAATATAACTCATTTTCCCTTCTTCCCAATGAGTGTTTCTGTGTAGCTGGTAAACAAGAAGGGTCTTGGCATACCTGGTCATGGATGAGCCCATGATAAAGGATGCCCTTCATGTCTCGGCAAAGTCGCTCCAGGCCTCCATATTTGGACCAGACGTTGGGATTGTTGGCTGACACCAAACCCTCCACAGTAGTCTTCAAATTACTCAGTAACTTCCAGTGTTCCCTCCTGCAATGACATCAAACATGCTATAGGGTAAGCTTAATTATACCAAATGCTGATTACTTCAAGCCCAGCAATGAACCAGAATGCCTCATCCTGTCCCATGTCCTGTTGCTATCTCTGCCACTAATTTGTTAAGGCCACACTCTAACATAGTCAGGTTTGTATCAAACCTTAGGATGATTATTAATAATGATGATGACGATAGTAAATGCCATGCATCTGAATAGGGCTTCAAGCTTTATAAAAGCATTCACATCAATTATTTAATTTGATCTAGATTAATTTGATCCAATCTAGCAAGGTAGGTGATTCAAAAAATGAACATTTATCAGGCACTTGCTAGATGCAAGACACTGGAGATACAAAGACGATGCTACAGCTCTTGCTCTCAAGAAGCTTATTATCTAATAGGATAAAAATACACGTACACAAAAACTATGATGATAGGGAATGAGAGAAGAGTACAAAAGATAGGTCTTAGTAAACTGGTAACAAAAAATGTTAAGAGGAAGAACTCCGCTTTCACCTTGAAAGCGAAGATAGGCTTCAGGGAAAATTGTACCAGTGACAGGCCTTCGGAGAGAATAAACAGAGATATAGATAAGACGGGAAGTGAGAGGACTCTATTTCAGGTGTCAGGGATGATGGAAGCATGGAAACAGGAGATTGCAAGACTACAACAGAAAGAATAGTTTAATATGGCACATATGTAGGGTATGTGATGGTTTACAAAGGCTGACTGGGATAGGTTGTAGAGAGCCTTGAATGCCAGGATCAGGAGATTGTACTTTATTCAATAAGCTACAATCCTGTATCAATATTAGGTCTTGGAATTCAACAACAAAAAAGCCCCTTGTAGACAACAGTAGCAGTTATACATCATTTGAAATAATTAGGGTCACATACATTTCCTCAGAATCAGAGAAAATAATTTAACCCCCATACGTTTCCAGTTGGAGCTGCTAGATGGCACAGTGGATAGAGTGCCAGGCCTGAAGTCAGGAAGACTCATATTCCTGAGTTCAAATCTGGCTTCAGACACTATCTGTGTGACCTGGGCAAATCATTTAACCCTGTTTGCCTCAGTTTCCTCATCTATTAAATGAGCTGGAAAAGGAAATGGCAAACCACTCTAGTAACTTTGCCAAGAAAACCCCAAATGGAGTCACGAAGAGTTGGACGTGACTAAAACAACCACAAATGTTTCCAGTACTGCACTAATAAGCAGTAGGGGATATAAAAATCCAGCAAATGCTTATGTATGCCACTGTGTGCTTAGCTTGGTTAGACTTCTGAGAGTATAATAATAGTTCTCTATTCTCAAGGAGCTCATAAAGTAGTTGGGGCAATACATTTCATCCCATCTGTGATGTCGATGCCCTTCATTGGATGCAGACTGCACCCCCATCTATGCCTTCTCATCCAGAGAGATTCTCTCATAGATTCTGCAAAGGATCCTCCCAATGAGCTGAAGAAGCAGGCTACCCAGTGGTGACCCCTTGATACCACACCTCCTTTCCTAATGTCTCCTCAATGATATCTGTAATTACTGCTACCTCCAGGAGACATCAATTGATACATGCTACAGCTTATGTAAGCACATGAAGCCACCTATGGATGAGTTACAACTTTGATTCCTTGGATATTATGAATTTTTAAGGACAGTTCTATAATCAGGGAGCATCCTCAAAAGAACGCCTTTGTTGGTCTTTCTCCTGGGGCAAATTAGGACCATTAACAATGCCTGCATAGTTTCTTTTTCTAACCTACCCCTCTCTTTTTTTTCTTTTGTCCTACCCACAAAACTCTCCCCCATAAGCAATTTCTATTTATTTTGTAAAAATATTACAGTTTAATCTAGTTCAGGCATATGTCAGCCCAACATATCTGACCCCTCTGATGTGGACCTTGGGTAAGACATGTTCCATGACAGTGACAAACACCTGTTTTATACCTCACCCAATGCTAACAATCAGAGGTCCCTGAACAGAATTCTCTCCATGGTTGCACTTGTCAAGGAAATTGAGAGGTTACTTGTTGGAGGGAGGCCTTCGAGACCATTTCCTTTTATCAAATCAAATGCCTTCTTGTAATTAACATATAACAAATAAATTGGGACCTTGTTAAAACAGAGGCAAGGAAGGAATATAATTAAGAATTAGTCAACATGGGGCAGCTAGCTGGCGCAGTGGATATAGCTCCAGCCTTGGAGTCAGGAGAACCTGAGTTCAAATTTGACCTGAGACACTTGACCTGGTGTGACCATGGGCAAGTCACAACACCAATCACCTCATCAAAAAAAAAAACCAGTTCATTAGATCCTACTGTCTCCTCAAGCTATTGTCCTATATTTCTCTTCTCTTTCTCGCCAAGCTCATAGAGAAAGCTGTCTATTGCCTTCACTTCCTCCCCCCTTTAAAACTGCTGTCCAACCTCATCACTCCAATGAAACCACTCCGTCCAAAGTTACCCATGATCTCTAAAAGGTAAATCTTACCTTTGGTCCTCCCTTGGTCTTCATCTTTCTTCACCTCTCTCTGCTGCATTTGATTCTGTTAAACTATAATTGTCTTTCTCTATACTCTCTTTCTTGGTGATCTCGTCAGCTCTCATGGGTTTAATTTTCACCCCTATGCAGGTGATTCACAGATCAGTATAGCTAGCCCAAGTCTCTCCCTGGCTTCAGTCCCACATCACCAGCTGCCTTTGGAGCATTTCAAACTGGATGTCTCAAAGACATCTCAAACTCACTATGTCTAAAAGAAAAGGCATTTTCCCCTCAAACCCTCTCCCCATACTGAAAGTCTCTATTTCTGTGAGAGTACCACTATTCTTCCACTCTCTTACGTTTATAACCTCTCCATCATTCTCCACTTTCTACTCTCATACTAGATATTCAATCAGCTGCCAACTCTTCAGGTTTCTACCACCACACCATCCCTGACACCAATCCCTTTGCTCTAACTACCACCTTAGTGCAGATCCTCATCACTTCTCACTTAGACTATTGCACTGACCTCCTAATTGGTCTTCCTGACTCAAGTCTCTCCCCATTCCAAGCCAGCCTCCATACAGCTGCCAAAGTGATTTTCCTTAAGCACAGATCTGACTGTGTCACTCCTCTATTCAATTAGCTCCACTGGCTCTCCATTGCCTTTAGGACAAAGTATAAACTGGCTTTTAAAGATTTTCAAAACTTGGTCCCAGGCTCAGATTCTTATAATCTAGCCAATAGCTCACTAATGTTTAGACTCCTTAAGAGTCTGCCCAATATGACGGATGTTCTAATAAACCTTGTCTTTGGCTGGAAAAACAACAACAACAACAACAAAAACAAAACCCGGTCCCAACCTCTATTTCCAGAGTCATTACACATTACTACTCTTCCTGTAACGTACAGTCCAACCAAATTGGACTTTTCTCTGTTCCTCAGCCACGGCACCCCATCTTTTCCCATCTTTGTGCATTTGCCTGGTTCACACTGACTCCTTACTTTTATCTCACAGAACCCCTAACTTCCCTCAAGAGGCAGCTCAAGCACCAGTCCCTCCAACTGCTACTGCCCTCCTTATTGATCTTATATTTATTTTGCATTTAGTACACATACATTTTTCTGTATACACACGTTGCCTCTCCTGATAGAACAGAAGCTCTACGAGATCAGGGAGTCCTGCACTTTGGTTTTTGTAGCTCAGTGCCTGGCATACCATAAGTGCCTAATAAAGGCTTGTTGACTAGGGCAAGACTCTGGAAGGTCAGGCAGAGGCGTTGAGTCTCATGTGAAAATGGCGAGCCACTGTGACATTTTTTGAGCAGAAGAGTGATGTGATAAGGGGTGGTGTTTGAAGGGCACGTGACAAGAGGATTTTTTTGGTGACTATCTTAACATGTGGAGCTCCTAATGAAGCAGCTTCCTCTACCCAAGCAGAGCAGTGGTGGTCTTGTAACATAGACTTTGAAAGTTATCAGGGGCACTGAAAGGTTAAACAAGTTATTCAGGGTCACAAAAACATAATATGTCAGAGATGGGACTTAAAGGCAGGCCAGAACTTGAACTTAGGTCATCCTGACTCAGGCAGGCCTCCATCCATTCTTCCAACTTTCCTGTAAGTCAAGAGTTCTAACTCTTTTTGTCAGGACCCACTTGACATTCTGGTGAAAATTATGGACCCTCTCTCAGAGTAATGTCTTTAAATGCATAAAATGTATAGGGTTACAAAACAAACCAATTATATTTAAATACAGTTAAAATAAGCAAGTTCACAGACTCTGGGTTAAGAACTTCTGCTCTAGACAGTAACAGGACAGTAGCTCCTGACAGAGGTGATGGAGTCAAGATGTACAAGACGTATTCTTGGACATGACCAACGTGATTATTTGTTTTGCCTATCATTCATATTTATTATTAGAGTTTTGTCCCCTGCCCCCAACCTGGTTCATGGAGGGGAAATGGGAAGGGAAAGAAAATAAATTTTTGTCCATTGAAAAAATTTTTAAAAAAAAAGGTACATAGGGGCAGCTAGGTGGCACAGTGGATAGAGCACTGGCCCTTAAGTCAGGAAGACCTGAGTTCAAATCCAGCCTCAGACCAAACACTGGACACTTACTAGCTGTGTGACCCTGGAAAACTCACTTAAACCCAATTGCCTAAAAAAAAAAAAGGTGGGGTCTTCTTATCCTAAATTGGTTCCCTTTACCCTTTTGAGTATAAAGCAGTATTAGCCCTAAACACTGGGGCTCCTTCGATCCAGCCTCTAGTTCTGGGAAGACAGGTTTTCCTGGGACCACCATGTTTCTAATGATTTCCTTTCAGAGACTGGAACCAAATGAGATTTGGAAAGCCTGGCGAAGCTAAGTACATGTATCCTCAGTGTATGTGTGATCCTCCAGTGGTTTGTACACTGTTATAAATTTAAATGGGAGGTAGGTGGTACAGTGGATAGAGCTCCAGCCTTAGAATCAGGAGGACCTGAGTTCAAATCCCGCCTCAGACAGTTGACACT